GGCTTATACGGGGAGGGGGTTAGACGGATTTGTGTAAAAACGAGATATCCTCTTGACAGCTCACATTTGTTTACAGCATATCACCTCGAGATAAAAATATCTACACTTACCTGTCAGTCTTTGAATTAAGAAGAGAATTGACTTTTCCAATCCAGTCATCAGTAATTTTCTTAAGTAGAAAAAATATATAATTATACACGGGGGAGGATTGCACGTGGTACCTACCGCATGAAAACAAACAAAGCAAGACGTTTTTGAACAGAGAATTTTAAACGAAGCTGCTATTTTGAATTACCTCAAAATTAAGGTGCTGCTTTGATTCTACGCATCCAAGAAAAAAGGCTGCATATATCTCAGGTTTCGTCTCCAGAAACGAACCTGCTAAGAGGGACAGTTCGACCGCCATTTTGTTTTTATTCGGGAAACAGCTGACTAGTAACAAATGCAGTTTATTTATAAAGACCATAATGCAATTTGGACCCAAGTGCCAACATGGCGGCTCAAGCAGGGTATCCGTCGTATTCCAATGAAATAAAAGAGAAATTAAGTCTATGGGATGTGAAGGATTCTCCTCTCGCACCGTTGACAGAAAAGCAAAGAAACAGCGTACTTGAACTAACCACAGTTGCAGGAAACCGTCCCCTTTTAGACGAGGTGAGCTCAAAACGTGTTTAGGTGGATCAGCTGTTTTTTAAAACGAAATAGTCGGATTTATCAGCTGAGGACGTTGATTCTGATATGATGTAAGAGATAGACGTTGAGTACTTTGTACCTGATGAAACTTCTAGCATTTTTTTTCACAGAAGTATTTCCTTTCTGTTACTCTCAGTTTGCGCAGTTTTAGGAATCTGCTTTTGTATAATTTGCTTTTCCAGCTGTGTTACTTTATTGCCTGTGAATGAGGTCATGGAGCAGGTTCGTTTCCCTGCCGAAAATTTATATCAATACGGTTTTCATCATCTTAATGGCAGGGCATATAGTCATATTCACTTTAAAGTAAAGGATGTTTCTCTATTATTCTTTGCTAATCAATCAAAGTTACCTGATGATGACTGCACCAGTTTACCTGCAAAGAGGACCTTGAGTGAGACCAGTAAAGAAGCTGCCATGGACATGGCAACAGTCGATTTGGGATCAGAAAAAATAGAAAATGCTCAACAGGTTGGCTTCTTCATATTTGTTTTTCACCCTTTAACTCCCATGAGTGATCAAGACAGAATTTCTCCTTACAACATCAATACAATATCAAACAGACAGGTGATGAGAATAAAGAAAAATATCAATTAGGGATTATTTTTCGGTCCAACACCAAACTCTCCAAAGAATTACTATTGAGATCTTTTGAGTGAATGGTTTAAACACAACGAATATTTGAAATTCATATATCTGAACTGCGGTAATAGAAATGTACTTGTGCACGATCCTCGCAGTAAAGAGCACTATTTAGGCAATAGTGAAAATCAGACCTGAAAAAATTCAGGGCTCTTTACTATGAGGATCGTGCACAAATGCGTTTCTATAACTGCAGTTCGGATAAATGAATTTCATATTATTTTGTTGTGTTTGATTTATCATCTTATGGGTTTATGTCGAATTAATTTGATGACCTGCTCCCAGTTGGCTTGTTAGCTCAATTGGTAGAGCCCTGCACTAGTATCGCAGAGGTCAGTGGTTTGAATCCCATACAAACCTGAATTTTTTCAGGTCTGATTTTCACTATTGCTTAACACATTGACACCTGAACCGCCCGTAACCGCCCGAACCTCACGATCGCCTTGCGCGAGAACGCTTTCCTCCCTACCTCCCCTACTAAGTGGAGTTTTGTTCCCAAACTTCCAGTATAGTTTGGAGATCAATAAGCCAATCAGAATCCGTTGTTTGTGCATATATTTTTTTGACTTTAGTGGGTACTAGAGGGGCATTATTCCATACGTCTTCACTAAATGATCAAATTTGAAAATATGGCGTCCATGCGGCTGACCCTCAAAATTTTCAGGTCGGATTTTTCGTTCATTTGCCATGGAGTTAGACCTTGTGGAATTCAGAATGTAAAGTAACAATGCTATAGAATACTCTGCTTGGAAAAGAATGGATATCCAGGTCTTAAAAGTGACAGAATAAGCTCTTGATTCAACGACACTACGATTCTCTAAGGCAATGTGAATTATGGACGTAAACTGAAAACCGAACTTTAGGACTTCAAGCAGGGCCTGGCGACAATATGACGATTCAATGGCCCGGTAAATATTATATTCGAGTAACAATGTGTTCAAAAAGTATAGTTTAATAGAAGATTTTGCCTCAAATCGAAGTTTTTCAGAATTTTCAACATATCGCTGTGCAATTTCTGGCCATGAAGGCAAGTAAACAATGATCTAAGATGATGAATTTTACCGCATGGGCTTTGTACACATAAGAAATTCGTACATTTTTTGCTTATAACTGCAAATAAAAAACTGTTTTGAATAAATCTGACGTCCCGAAATATTTCTGGGCCATTTTAGTCTAGCCTCCTATTGATAGATTCCATGGAACTTGAGATCTCTTCACTCATGGACAAATTTGCATACTCCCTTTTGAAATGTGATCCACATGCCCATTTTCACACATGCAAAAATATTTAGCGATTTTTATCTTTCATCTTGATTTTTGAGTTAAAACGTTATATGCACCTTTCGCTTTTTTTGCCAGAAATAAGTTCTTTAATTAGTCCTCTTTCACTGGAGCTTGTTTTTCGGAAAAGGTGATTTTTAAAAATATACTGCGCATTGTGTTTGCCTTCTTGGTTTCTCCAAAATTTAGACTTTTTTTTTTGACACGTGTCAATGGGTTAAATGGTGCTCTTTACTGCGAGGATTGTGCACAAATACGTTTGAAAGGGTTAAGTTATTCAATGAAAGTATTTAAAATACTGTAAATCTTCTATTAAGCCCCCCCCCTCCAATAAGCTGTCCCTCTTTAGAGGAAGAAATTTGTTAAACCCCTCCATTAAGTCCCACACCCCTTCCCCCCTCAGAAAACAAAAACTCAAAATAACACTCCATGTTAGGAAGCACGATAAATAAAATGAGAACAATTTTTTAAGAAATACAGTACATCATATCCTATTCTATCCAGGTAGTGAATGTCAGACTAAATTAATAAGCTCCCCCTTTATTAAGCCACCCCACCCCCAAAGTACCTGAAATAAATAAGCCCCCCCCAGGCCTTATTAGGGGATATATGGTACTGTTGTATTAATGATCATGTTAATGAGATCAATGACACTGACCCTGAAAACAAGGATGGAATTGATCATGATAATTGTATGAAGTGTGGCTTGGTTGAGAATAAGGGAAAAAGAATAAATTTTTGATGAAGAATTTGCATTATAATCAAAAATGAGAAATCCTACGCAGTCTTTTAAAATCAGGGAGGAATTTTCGACAACCATTTTCAATAATCTGGGTCAGTCCTCTAGTTTTTGAGATAACTAGATAATTCTATTTTATTTCTAACAAGTTCAAATGACGCATGGAATACAATGATAACCATTAGAATCAAGTCCTTGTTTTGACTAATCTTGAAGTGGATTAACTTCTTTGCTGTTTGTTATATTATGTCATCATTAGGTATGTTTAAACCCAATTATTTTTTTTTTATTAACAGTTTTTTGCCTGGTTTGCAAATGTGGAAGCACAAATGGAGGAGGAGCAGGAATCATCTTACAGGTAAAGGAAAAGTAAAGGGTATTACTGAGAGACAAAAATAACTGTTTTGACATTGTGAAGGAGAGGTAAAAATTTGCTAATCTTTCCATTCCCAAACATGACAAATAGTAATTATTTAGCTTAACAGTTTGATTAAGTATCAAATTCTCAGAACTGACATGAAATGTATGGCAGACAGTACCAAGAATTAAATGTTAGATCTTGGAAGTAAAAGTTCATAGTACTTGGTAACAGCTGGTGTATGGATAATTTGTTCCCTAGATCTTATGCAGCGCAGTTGCGTTCTTATCGCGATCATTGTGACAGTGTTCTAAGTGAAGTGGAGTCAGCCCTGAATCATCTGCAGGATCTACAGCAGAAGCACTTATTGGTGTCCACAAAGACTGGGGCTCTTCATGAAGCTTGCGAACAACTTCTTCAGGATCAGGTCAGAGAGACAGATATAAATATTTCATTTTCTTACAAACTACATATCTGGATTAGAGACCTTACCTTCCTTTAAACATTAGCTGTGGGGACAATTTCAAAATAATGAAGAAATTATTGGTATTGGGGTAACAGATGTAGCAAAACCCAAACAAAATGACTGCAGTTGGGCCTGGAAAATTGCTCCCTGTAGCAGACGATCAAGGTTAACAAGGGTACGAGATAACAAAACAAATGAACCTTGAGGATGTTCTGATAGTCATCTACATCTAGATAATTTGAAACAGCTCTGAAGTTTCAAGAGAACCCCCAGAAGTGATTTAAATGTAACTTCTTATAATATTCATACGTTATTCAGCAAGCAGGTAATGAGAATGCTCAAACATAGGTAGAAGTTGTTATTTTGATCCAACACTAGTTTCTTGTGACTAATTTACAAGGAAATGTGTAGCAGCTAGATGGGAGAATTAAAAATCAGATCTTGGGAGTGAAGGGTTTGTGCAGTATTTTACTTCAATTTATTTTCACATGGCAAACATTCAGACAAAGTTGATGAATATGGCTGAAAGCATCAGTAACAAGTTATCTTACTTCAATGCTTTGGATCATCTCAGACATGTGAGTAACTAGACCACTGTTATGCTAGAACAACGTTTTGTCAGAAACTTAGCAAATAAATTGTACAGTTTTCATTTTCATTTACTTTAGTATAGAATCGTCACCTACTAAAATTATTGATAATTCAACTTTGTTTTCAGAAACTCAACTCGTCAACACTCTCTGTGACAAGTGAATCCTTTGTTCCAATGCTTGCAAGACTCGATGAGTGTATTTCATTTATATCAAGCAATGTAAGTTTTCTGTCCTTAACCCTTTATCTCCCACGAGTGACGAAAACAGGATTTCTCCTTACATTATCAACACAATATCAAGTGGAAAAGTGATGAGAACAAAGAACAAGATCACTAAAGGGATTATTAGTTGATCCAATACCAAATTCTCCAAACCAACATCATAAGAATTGAGTGGCAGACAGTAAGGAGAATTACTAATGAGAAAAAGGGTTGAACCTTTTGTTTCTAAATTCATGTTTTAAAAAATTATTTATCTGATTTTTTATGATCATCAAGCTTGGGTAAGCAATGGTGTTATTGTGGGAGGGGATGTTAGTGGGTATGTTCCTTCTCTTTTTGAAGAAATGTAATCATTATGAGAAAGCTAGGTATGCCGCCAAATCCCTTTAGCTGTGAGTTATTAGTTCAGATCTCCTCCCCTTCCATACTGCAAAGCTTAAGGCCTTACCTAGTGTACCCAAGTCCACATTTTTACCAGGAATTGGACAAGGAAAATATAGGTGGTGCTGGAAGTGTAACATCTGTCAAATACTCTGCAAACAAGTGTCAGGGCTCTCATTCTTATGCAGCATGCATCTTGCACACTGCTGAATTCAGATGCAGTGCTGTAGGTGTAAAACATATGAATTTATTTATAAACATTATTTTTGTCCTTGCAGCCTCAGTTTAAAGAATCCCAAGTGTACCTTGTCAGGTTCAAACAGTGCTTGAACCAGGCCCTCAATCAAGTGAAAATGCATGTTGTGAATTTACTAAAAAATGCCACAGCGCAGGTGTTGGTAAATAAGGTAAGATGATCATTTCAGACACTAGTGTCCAATTTTAGACACTTGTTTCTGATTTTGTATCCTATGTTAGATACTAGTGTCTAATCTTAGATACTAGTGTCTGACTTTTGGCACTGGTGTCCAATTTAAGACTATAGTGTCTGATTTTAGACACTGGTGTCCTATTTTTAATGTCTGATTTTAGACCATAGTGTCTGATTTTAGACACTGGTGTCTTATTAAAGGCACTGGTGTCTGATTTTAGAGACTAGTGTCCACTTTTGGAAACTGGTGTCTGATTTTAGACACCATTATAGAATGTACTTTTGGACACCAATGTCTGAAGGTCATTATGGTAACAAATGTCAATATGGTAATTAATTATGCTTATCTATCATGTTGATTACCTATGTGTCGTTTACAATGTGTCGTTTATGAATTTATGATTACCAATGTGTCGTTTATGAATTTAAATGTAACCTGTGTGATGCAGGGTATGTGGGCTATACTCGTGGTCACTTACACGAGCGCGTAGAAGGGCACACAAGGAAATCATCTTCTATCTACAAACACTACCACCTCCAGCACAATAGTGAAATGCCTGAACGCTTGATCGAGCAATTCAACGTCATCACGAAATGTAACGGCAAATTTGATTGCCTTGTTAATGAAATGTTGTATATTCGCATGCGTAAGCCAACACTGAACGTGCAAACGGATTCCATCCGCGCCAAGGTGTTTGTTTAAGCCGTTCAGTCTAATTTATGCTATTCTTGTACCTTTCCTTATTTGCATGTTTTTTAAACTAGTCTCTTGATAATGGAGTCACGATGACCCCGAAACGTCGAGTAATAAATCTTTCCTGGTTTTTTCATTACCTATAGTGGTTAGCGTTTATTCAAATTGAGAATTTGTTGGATCAAAATGAAGACTTGGTTTGACACAAGTCCTGTTTGGGGCAAAACACTTTTTCCAGCACTGCACATAACTATATTTGAGGCTATGATGATTTTGAATGTAAACTTGCTTTTTTTTTTATTTTCTTGTTGATTATTTTAGGAAGGTGGAAATTCTTCCGAAAGTTCCTTTGCTTTATTTTATGGAAAGTTCAGGACTTGTGCTCCAAGAGTAAAGGTTAGTTACTGTGTTGTAACTTTTATTTTTTCTTGGGAAGGGAATTAAAGTTTACCATTTCACTCCCAAGATCTCATTTAGTAATTCTCCATACTGTCTGCCATGCATTGATTATAATTATTTTAGTTCTGAGAATTTAGTATTGTTCAGGGTCAAATGATAATCACCTCATTGATGTTTGCTTGATATTGTATACTAGATTAATTTGATCTCAACCTAGGTTGGTTGCTGATGTCTGTCTGTCTGTTTTTTTTTTTTGGCTGTGTTTAGGTGTCTGGAACCTGAAATTATACTAAAACAATTATTCACCTCAGGTTCCAGACATCTCAAAACAGCCAAAAAAAAAGAAAAAAAAACAGACAGACAGACAGACATCAGCAACTGACCTAGGTTGAGATCAAATTAACCTAGTTTGAAACAAATTTACCTAAAGAACAAATTGACCTACAACAGATACTTTAAAGAGAAAGTATGCCTTGACCACTGCAGGGAGTGATTTGTTTGTGTTGAAATGGTTGACTGCCTGACAAGGAAGGCTAGTTTAGTTTTGATTAAGTCCATAATTATACTAATTATAATACATATATCTTATTAACCAAGCGCGAGGGCCGTACTGGGAGAATATCGGCCGGAGGTCTTGACAGTATGGACCGAGCGCAGCGAGGTCTGTACAAAAAAGACCGAGGGCCGATATTCTTCCAGTACGGTTCCGAGCAAGCTTGATTAATAAGAGATTTATTACACGACTGAAGTTCAAAGGGACACAAGTGCGGTATCATTCGGGACCATTCGGGACAGTGCCCGGTCCAATACTGAGAGAATATTGAGCGGCAATAGAGCATTTTGATTGGTTGATTTTAGTTATTGGCCCTCTGACTTCCTGAGTCGTGCAATAAATTTTATTATTTTCTTCCACAGAGTTTAATGGAACAGATTGAACAGAGGAGTCACTTGAGTTCTGAGTAAGTATTACAGATAGACAAATATGGTGGTTACAGCTGGTAAAAAGAATTTTTTTTAATTTTTTATTATTTTTTTAATATCTGAAAGGCACCACTTTTGTTTCTTAATGTTTCAGGTACAGTTCACTTTTGAGTGATTGTCAGCATTGCTATCTCTCTCAGCGTTCTCAGTTATTGACCCCATGTGTCAGTGATGCTATTGACAAACTGGCCAAGCAATATGAAAGAAATCCTTGTTCTCTGGTAAGTTTACCCAGAAGAATGAAGATGAAAGTTTTGGAACTACTTTGTGGTGCTGAGCAAGCCATTTGACTTGAAAGTACAACTTAGGCGGCTTTCATCTGAATGGTTTAAACAGGAAATTTTCACCCCCACACTTAATAGTTCAAAACCACCCTGTCCAGTGTGATAAACAGCACGATACACCCTTACATCAGTATGCAAGATCTCCATACTTGTTTTTATAGGGGAGCTCGCGGCACATGTAGCATAGCCCCATATTTATACAAAATAGTAGTAGTAACCCATCAGGCCGAAAAAATTTGGACTTATGACAGTATGGGCGTCCACACAAGGTGCTACTTTTGGCATGGGCCGTCAACTGTTCTGTGGGAATGCCAACGCTGCGGCTTTAGTCATGTCCAGTGAGCTTTTGAGCACAACGCATGCGCTACACTTGTACATAGCTGAGGAGACTCTGGGTTCAAGATGAATTTAGTGGATGGTACGTCGAGCATGCACAACTGAGAGCTGTGCGGGCTTGTCCTCGCAGTGGTCCCATAATTATGCAAAATAGTACAAGATGTGCAGGAAAAAAAATGCGAGCTCCGCTTTTAGGCTTGGCTAAATCTATATATTATATTGACTGTGGTACATACAAGGAGAATTGGCCTAACAATCAAGAGCTTCTTAGAAGTTGTGATCAAGTTTTTTATTCTCATGATGTTCATGTTTGATTCAAGGGTGACACTGTTGGGAGAAATTAGATGCTGGTCACTCTTAGAAGTCAAATGATTAAGCAAGACCCATAATAGCCAACCTTCACTTTTATTTAACCTTGGCACTGAAAAATTTTTAGAGAATTAGTGAAAAAATTGTTAAAGCTAGACTTGAATCTCTTTTTGCAGGTTTGCGCTGGCTGTTCAGTTTTAATTCGGGTCTGTCAGGATGAATACCAGTTATATTATCACTTCTTCTCCAGGCCAAGTTCAGGTCTTGAGTAAGCAAAATATTTTATCGCTAGTAATACTTTTAACTTTGAGGAAGTTTATAAACTTGAACCTCTGGGAATGTGGCCTTTCCTACAAGTTGTGAGAGTCAAGCTGTTGATGAAACAATTGGAGAATGAGGTAGAAGAGTGTTGGCAGCAAACACAGAGGGCTCGTAATGCTGACAGATTAGATTTAGATCAATATTATTATTCTGACTAGGTTCTTGTTTATGTATCAAAACTGCACTTCTCTTTGCTTTGTAGTTCCTTGTTAGAAATTTTATGCAGCACATTGTATGATTCATTGAGACCCGTAATAATCCACATGAATCACATGGAAACACTCACTGAACTCTGCACAATATTAAAGGTACATTTCTTGTTATATGATGGTAATTTTTGTTGTACATTGTATTTGGATGTCATGAATTAAGGCTTTCTACCTCTTTTTAAATGATGACCTAAGTGGCAGGTGCATTAAATTAAGGCCACTGAATCTCATTGATTTTGTTACCTACAAAATTGTTTGGAAAATGATGATCCTTTAGTTTGCTGCACTAGAACTGATCAAGGATGTTATTTCCCTCATAGGTGGAAATGATTGAGGATCATGTTCAGCAAAAAGGTATTGGTAAATTTTACTTGCTAGCAAAATATTTTGAATATGTCATTCTGATATATGGATGACTAAAAGAATGCAGTCTCTGATAAAATCTAAAATCACGACCTCTTTTTCAGGTGAAGAATTAGCTGCTTTTGAAGTTGTTGTTCTTCAGATGTTGGAAGATGTTCAGGAAAGATTGGTTTACCGAGCACAGGTAATTATTGATAAAAACAAAACTTATAAATTTTGGTTATCACTGGAACCTAGCTTAGGAAGGCAAGAGTCAGTTCTGTATTTGACAAACTTAATTGACATCAATTGACTCTTTCCTGGCAGGCATACATTGAGAGTGACATCCAGAAATATTCCCCAGCTTCTGGTGATCTTGCTTATCCAGAAAAACTTATCATTGGGGTAAGATTGTCAAGTTGTGCACCAGTCTCTTGGATGTACCAGCAACCAATAACTGATCAGTCAGGCTCAACTGGGTGGATACATATTCACAGAATATTTAACCCTAATTGTACACCCTGATATCAGTATGCATTTTCTCCCTACTGTTCCCTATACATTTCTTATTGTACTGACAGGGAGAATTAGTTTAGCAAAGTGGTGATCATTTTCTTTTTTCTCATTACTGTTATGTTTAATAGAGGGACAAAGCTGTAAAGAGAAATTAGATCCTATTCAATCATAGGTGTTTAAAGGTTAAGATCTCTGAAAGCAGTGTATTTAAGGAAATTTTCTGATTATACTTTCATTGTTTTTTATTCTGTCATTTGTCAGACTCACGAAAAGACGAAAAGGTGATATAATTATGTATTGTACTGAAACAATGTCACTCTTTGATTACCCTTGGGGGTTTTCCTTTGTTTGTGTTTGGAGTTACCTCCGTGCAAAACTGAAAAGTAATTTTTTTATGCTGTTCAGTTTTCTGGCTTAAAGGAGATGGTTCCAGGGCCTCACGTACAAAGTTCTGTTCTTCAGCAATGAGTATGTCTGAATATGAGAAAACTGTTCGGGAAACCTTAAGAAGTAAATTTATTTGTACTTTTTCCATGCTACAGAAATTAAACTTTTTGCAGGAGTTCAACTGAGTCTTACCTGAAAGCTTTGCTTCTTTGTTCAACTTTAAGGCAGGGGATGCTGACAAAGAAGAGAAACAAATTGGAGAAGAAGAGAAAATGTCTGTTGGTGAGTTGTGATTAAAAGTATTGCCATCCTCAAATGCATGTCTGCCATTTCTTTACTCGGTTTGTCTCTTTTCTGATTGTAGAGCTACCAACAGCACTAGCTGACATGCAGGGTATGTGGTACCCAACAGTCAGACGTACACTGGTGTGTCTCTCGAAACTCTACCGCTGCATATCAGTGAGGATTATTTCCATCTTTGGGTTGTTTTTCACTTTTTGTCCTCTGATTCCATCTAGTTCATGTCCTATTGATTAAAAATGAATGTTTGATTCCACCTTTTACATTTTAGAAAGAGACATTTGAAGGCCTGTCTCAGGAAGCTTTGTCACTCTGCATCCAGTCTCTTAAAACAGCAAGTTCTCTTATTGCCCAGAGAAAGGTACAGATACTAATTGACAGATTGAGATGACTGTCAAGTGTTGACTCAGTTATGTATTAGATAAGTTCTTGTAATAGAATTAGAGAGATGGTAGATTTTGAGCTTGGTGAATAAATAGAGATGTTTTTATGTCCTGTCATGGAAAAAAATGTCTTTCTCTTTATCTCTACCAAGTTCATAATCTACCACACGCTTAACTCTGTTTACACACATGGCACTTTCTGCATTGCTTATCCTAGCAGTATGGAGGCAAATGTCATCTATGAACGTAGTAATGGTTCAGCTTACCGTTGAGTCCCTGTGCCTAAGTAGTGGGGCATCCGAGTGTAGAATCAGAAGGTTGGAATTTCAATTTCCTTTGGGGACTAAGACTTTTCTTTGTCCTATGTTTGTGACAAGTTAGAAAAAAATTCTTTTATGGAGTTTGTAATGATATTTTCCATTCCCTGCCTATTCTCAGTTTTTCTGCATGTGATTGAATAATGTATAAACTGAATAGTAATTGAAGGGGTTCCTGGAAAATGTCTAAGGTCACTTCTGATATACTGCGTAACTCTCCTCCCAAACTATCCTGTATTTATTGTGGAGACTGAGGGAGAAGAATATTTTGCCTTTCAAACCTCTTAGCTCTTCATTCCACACACTTTCAATTTGCAACCTCCCCTGTCTTTGATGCTCATGTAATGTTTGGTTTTTTGACAATTTTTCTCTCAGGATTCTATAAATGGTCATCTGTTCCTCATAAAACATCTGCTGATCCTCAGAGAGCAGATTGCTCCTTTTGATGTAGATTTTGCTGTCAAGGAAATGTCGCTGGACTTCAGTAAGATGCGAACTGCAGCATATGGTTTGTGGAGTCACAGCAACAGGCTCTTTGCTCTCAGTGGCAACAATGCCCTGCTGGAATTCTTGTTAGATGTAAGTATGTGAAATCTTAAGGAGAGAGATTTCTCAATGCTAGAAAGTATGCCTTTTTCCTGATTCTTTAGTAATAATAATAATTTAATATTTATATTCTGCAAATTAACATGTGGATATGATCAAATGCGCATCACAACACTTTTCAGGGGACTTTGGCCGGACTGCATCAGCAGTTTACAAACAACTGAAGGAAACTTATTTGAAGATGCCCCCTCCCCCCCAATCCCCAGTAAACAGGCCAGACCACATCTCAGTAATCTTGTGAGTGGGTTCTTTAACGTCCCCTGCCTATAACTAAATTAACTAATTAATAGATGCAGGAGATGGAGAAATGTTTAAAAGCAACACTCGACATTCACGGCACTTTATGGTGATTCTCTTCCAGGGAGCACCTCAGTTAACAGAAAACTATCTGGATTCTAAGAAAGTAAGGAAAGCTAAATATTTAAATGAACATTTTCACTTTCATCCAAACCTACACTTTCCAATGTTTAGTTTTGTCTAGAGTCACCCCAGAGAGAGCTCTTGAGTTCTCTTTGTGTTATTTACCATTTTTCTTACACTATTTCAAAGGGAGATGCATAAAAAATTGCTGATCCTAGCATTTTGCAGGATGCCTGACATGGTTGCTTATGGGTTGGCTTGCACATGAGTTCTCCGAAGCTCAGTTCATTGAGAATTAGAATTTAAAATTGAAACTAGCTGCAGTTCAATTTCTTGTAGGAAAATGATTAATTTTTTCGCCCCACCAACAAAACAAGTATAGACTGAGGATCTCCCTTTACTGAGTCATGGTAATATTACATTGTAGCTTAGTAGCTACTCGCATTTCATTACTCAGCATGTCTTTTGTTCTCAACCAAAGGATGTTGATGTTGAACTCAGGATTGTGTGTGAGCAGTTTATTCAAAACGTGTCAGAGTCTCTTATCTCCCCTCTGTCAGCATTCTTGACCAAGGTAAGTTGGATCTTGATGACGATTAATTTTTGATTCATTGAATGATCTGTTGGCCTTGGTCTTTGGCAGCAGCGGGTGTTCGCACTAGAGCTAAACTGATGGTGACTAACTCAATTTTTAACAGAAGTAAATTAAAACAAAAATGTTTTTTAACCATGGTAACACACTCCTATTTACCCAAAGGTGTTAATAAGCAGACAGGTGATAAAAACAAAGTACTATGGATTTTCTAAATTTTTTCCTGCAGGTAACAGTAATTAAGAATCTTGCTCAAGAGGAAGGAAAAGATGCCAAAGCATTCCTCAAGCAACAACCTTTTGCAAAACCAGGTTTTAAAAACAAATCATTCTTAATTTAATGTGGAGGCGTGGTGGCCTCATGGTTAGTGCACTCGACTCCGGGTCGAGTGGTCCGGGTTCGAGCCCCGGCCGGGACATTGTGTTGTGTTCTTAGGCAAGACACTTTACTCCCACAGTGCCTCTCTTCACCCAGGTGTATAAATGGGTACCGGCAATTTAATGCTGGGGGGTAACCCTGCGATGGACTGGTATCCCATCCAGGGGGGAGTAGAAATACTCCTAGTCGCTTCATGCTACAGAAACCGGAGTTAAGCACCAGCCTAATGGGCCACTAGGCTCGTAAACAGACTTTACCTACCTCTTACTCTTAATTTAATAGTTTGAGAATTTACCTTACAAGCTTTATAACCCCTGCCACTTCCCAAGTAACTATTATAGTTATTTGCTGTCTTTTCAATGTTGTTCAATTTTTTTTTTTTTTTAGAGAACGTTCGTAAGGTTGTGAGTGAGACATATATGTTACTGAAATCCAAGCTTGCCAGTACTCTTCAAAGCATGGCTTTGTTTTTGGCAAACAAAGACACAGAGTACATTCTCTTTAAACCTGTCAAGGTAATGATCAACAGTGTTTTCTCTTCCTAATGTGAGTATAAAATTAATCCAAGCAGTCCTATGGCAAGAACACATGTATAGCAAATGATTATTGGGGAGATCCATACATAAAAAGGTCCTGGGACCAATTTCTGGCATAAAAGATGGGACCATTCCTTCTAATGCTGAGTAATAACAGACCATGTAAACAGTGTGAAAGACAGCAATTTTTTAAGTAAGAAAAAAGAGGGAAGTAAATCAGACACTGAAACTAACCATTGCAAGTTAAGTTAGTCTGAAGTTTCAAGAGAATCCACTGCAAAGCCATTAAGTTGTGTGACCCTAAACATACCAACCATTACCTGCCCATGGCATAACATTCTTTGTAAATATTGGTAAATTTAAATATCAGTAAGTTTGGGAAGCTCTATTTTCATAAGTTTGGATTATACAGATTGTTCTAGTAATTAAATTAGTAGAATGTGTACATGAAAAATACCACCAATTAAAAATAGTTGATTTTGCATGACTTGGTAAAAGCCAGGCATTGATAGTAACCAGGTTTGCTTGACAAAAAAACTCATTCTTTCCTTTACACTGGGATTACAATACTCATTGGATTTCTAATATTACAGGCTAAAGTTCAAGAGTATTACAAACAAATGAATGACTTGGTGATAGAAACTTACTCTGAGGAAGATAAGCAGATCATTGGATGTCCATCAATTCAGCAGGTATGTGAAGTTTACATGCACAGTAACAATAATGGCATTCTTGACCAAGGTGCATTTTGTAGTTGCTCTAGAGATGAAAAGTTACCATGATTGATATACTTTTTAAAAAAGGCGGTATTAATTTTTGTGCTAAGTGTGGGACAAGAAGAAAAAACAAATTAGTTCTTGAGTGGTTTATAGTTTATTTCCTCCCATGATTCTGTGTCAGTGGCTAACAAAAGTCTAACCTCCATAAACAGTCACCTGGGTGTCTACAACAGCAACCTCTTCACAAGGGTACTTGCCAACAAATGGAGCTCAACTTTGAACCTGAGAAGTTACAGGTGTTGTATAACACCCCTTCATTCCCTTAGACTAAGAGAAATCCTTCCTTTTTGGCAAAGTCTGTTGCACAAGTAAGAAAAGAATCTTTGAAAAAAATTGATGTTAGCATAATGCAGGGAACTCTTGATGTCATGTTGATGTGCCAGGAGAGCTGGCACATCAACATGACAAGCATCAATTTTTTTTCACTGATTTTTTCTTCACTCGTGTGACAGACGTCACTGAAGAGGAGGGACTGATGGCAACTTGCGTTTGACTGTTGTTGAGCAGTTGGACTTCACTTATTGTGCAGCAAGTGGTAAGATGGGATGAGAGTGTTTGTAAAAACTTTATCTTTACTTTTCAGGTTTCTCTTCTCCTGGCAGTGTCATGAAAAACAGAGTTGACAAACCACCCTCAGTGGAAACTAAGCTTTTGGAAACTCCAGCTGGTTCACTAAATCTGAAGATATAATAGGAAATGCTTCTTCAGCAAGTAGCTAAACCAGATTGAAAAATAAGATATATATTTATTTATTACCATGATTTTTTCTTCAAGGGCATCTCTTTTGTAAAGGTGAGGGAATTTGTTGGTCACATTGCTTTTTTTCTCCCTATACTTGCCTTTTAGCTTTTCAATGATCAAAGCGTATGGTACTGTAGATAAAGCAGTGACAGCCAGAGGCAAGTTAAAGGTGCCTATTATGTAATAGTGTGAAACCCTTCCTCAGGATGTACAAATTTCTTTTTATATACTGTCTACAAGACATTTCTCTTTACTTAAGCTGTGGGAATTTGGTGTTGGATCTAACACTAGTCTGTAGAATGAACAAAAACTCCCAAAGTTGGTTTGAGGGTAGAATGAAGGTACTTCCTCAATAAGGCTCTGACGAAGGGCTAATGCTCGAAACGTCAGCTCTTTTATTTGTTATAGTGGCCAATTTACTATTTCAACTTAGTTGATATAACCAATTGCTTATTTACAAGAATGAATTTGAAGGGGGCACTTACTAGAGAGGGGGCACTTACTAGAGAGGGGGCACTTACTAGAGAGGGGGCACTTACTAGAGAGGGGGCACTTACTAGTAAGGGGGCACTTGTTGGAACAGGGGCACTAAACTGAATCATTATGGTACGTGTAAATATCTAATATAGATGTATTCTTGTAAATGAAAGTGCTCTCACAATGTATACAGCAACATCATTTTATTTGTCTACTTTGATTCAAATTTATTTACAGACCATTTACATTTATTTTGCGATTAAGTTAATTGAATGAAAAAATTCTGAGGACAGCCAAAATTGGACGAGGCCAATTGGCTGTAAGAAGAAATTTTTTAATCCAGTTTTATTTCCAAAATTGGACAAGCATGTTGTAATTGGGCATTGCTATTATTCTTTAATTTTTTAGAATTTCCCAACTAAAGATTAGTTTGGATAGTTTTAAAAAATTAGAGAATTATAGCTATGCTGACAATTTCAATTGAACTAACAGCTATACAATAAGTTAAGTTGATACTCAATAATAATGGACCCTTGGGTGACCACCAACCTCAAGCCTAGCGTCATGTAAGCTCCTTGTCAGTGGTATGGGTGCCAAATAATGTCATTCTTTGGTGATCATATTGCTGACAAGGAACCAAAATGACCCTGGGGTAGAGATTACATGACCACCTACTCATCCTTCATGTCTATTTCAATGAAAGATATTATTTAGTATTCTATGACTTTTCTATTAAAATTCAGGTTTGCCCTATTTCATCCAGTCAAATCAAATGGTCTCTCCTGCCTGCACACTAGGGAAAATGTTCCATAATTCTATCAACAAAAATAATTGCTTCGAGAAAAGTAGAAGACATGAGGATATTTCAGTATAAAAAGAAGTGTGTAATACTTAATTATTCTGTAACAGCAAATCATATTTTAAACTTTCACCTCAGTTTATGAAAAAAAAAAAATTAAAAGAAAGTAATTCTAGCCTATGGGAACGATATTCAACCATTTCACATTGCCTCCTCAATTTCCATTCTCTTTTAAGACTGTAAGTATTTCATTGTTCCCATTTACTACCCAGGATGTCTTTTCGGTTGGCAGAAAGTAATTGAACATATGTCCCCTTCTCAAAGGTATTTAGTATTTGTAGGTATGACATCTGATTGGATCATTATCAGGAGACCAAACATGATCACGATCATAGTAGCAGACACGTATGAGCCATGAATTGGCATCAACATCAGTTTGGCCTGGTGAAGGGAACATACATCTATGAATATATGATGAAAGACTAAAAAGAAAACCCTGGATTCTTGTTAATAATCATGCTACTTTGTGATGTTTCTGCTTGGGTTAATAAATCACAAAACTGAAAAAATCTAATGCTGCAATTAAACTTCATAAAGTGCTCTGCGGAATTATTTGATTAACACATCCATGACATTAGGGACCATAGGGAATTGTCAACATTCAAATATTGGAGCCCATAAGATAACTCAACAGGGTACCTCCCTTCCCTAGTCACAACCTCTCCATCCCTGCAAGTGATCCACCCTCCCTTCCCCCATTCTGGACAGGAAATAAATTTGTTGTAGGAACCAACTAACCTTCATTTCTACACCTTGAGTGAACAAAATGAAAGAGTCCTGATCCAGTTGTGTGGCAGAAGGATATCCAAACACTCTGACATTCAGGCTCTTCTGTTTAAAATTCTGTGCAACTGCATTGAAGCGAGCAGCCTGCAAATTAAGAATTAAGAAGTTGTTAAAAAAAAAGTTTAAACCAATGCATACTCCTCCCTGGTCCCAAATAAATAATTTTACATCATTTACATGTAAAAAAATATCTGGGAGACATAGTGACCTTATGGTAAATGCACTGGACTCTGGGTTGAGAAAGGTCTGGGTTTGAGACTTGGTTGGGTCAATGTGCTGGGCATAACACTCTATTCGTACAGTGCCTCTCTCCACCCAGTATGAGTACGAGTGGTGACAAGGCAAACTGTCAGGGGGTGCCTGAAATTCTGGGGGGTAACCTTGCAATGGAATAGCAACCCATGCAGGGGGGGGTGGTGATACTCTTGGTCATTTCATGCTATCAAAACTAGAATAAGTGCAAGCTGGATGGTGGCCAGCTGAGTTTAGTACAGACTTAAAGCTAATCTTTTTCATATACAAAAAATACCTTGTATACAAAGAATACACGCAGTGTACTCTACTACCTTTTTCTCTCTATTCTTTTTTCACCATAATGGGTGTTGCCAAGCTTGTTTTTAACCAAGTGATAAAATGTCTCTCAAGACATATCCAGCCACCAGAAAAGGCTCTATTTTTTAAATTGTGCAGTAGGAAGAGTGTTATATTTCTAGTGATTGATTAATAATTGTTTCTTTCCTTGGCATGGGTTCAACAGTCTGCTGAGATAGGATGAAATAAATCTTTGTTTACATACCAAGTGTTCTGAAAGTACTCACCACTATAAAGGGAATCATTACAAAAGAGAAGGACAAAAGTGGTGCCAACAATTTGTGAAGCAATGCAAGTGCTTTTTTTGGGTCGTGCTTGATGCTTGTCATCATGTTGATGCTTGTCATCATGTTGATCACCTCTGGAAGAGTAAAATAAAAGAGGCATTTGACAGAGTGACAATATATTGGTGGTGTGATTAGTATAATCTAACTGGAATATCTCATTAAACATTTTACTTTAAGGTGCTTTGAATCAAGACCCCTGTTAGTGACATATTAACAAAGAAAGCCTTTGTGGAACAGAAATGTAGCTCAAATTCAATTTGAACCTCATCACAAACCAGGTGATGCTTTGTATTTGAGCACTTGTTGGATGCAGGGATTCACTTTACCCTTTTAGCTCCCAAGATGTGATTTTTAATTCTCCCCTCTAGCTGCTACACATTTCCTTGTAAATAAATCACTGAAACAAGATTTTAGTGTTGGACCAAGATAACACCTACCAGTCACATTTAAGTTTTCTCATTACCTATGTGCTGTATAACGTATGGATCTCATAGGGAGAAGTTACTTGTTAATCACCTCTGGGAGTTAGAGAGTTAGAGCCATGAGAGTCTAAGTCATCTTGCTTCCAGTATATATTATCTTATCACATGAAAATCTGAAACTTTTCCCCCTGGAAATTGTCTTTATGAAGCCTAAGGTTGAGACTGTGACAGTCTATTTCCATGTAAATCTTTATCTTTTGCCCTTTGTGAAAATCACTACATATTCACAGGAGCTCTTTTGCCAGCTTGGGCTATACCTGTGCTTCCTCTAGAATTACCTACCTGCAGGAAACTAATAATTAAAGCTAATATCAAGCTTCCTAGTGATAAAATAGAAATAAACACCCAACATGTGTGAATGATTACCTGCCACAGTTATTTTAAGGTAGCAGAGCACAATTAGACTTGCAATTATAGATATTTTTCCATTCATCTTGGAGAGGGTTTTCTTTGCATCCATTACATCCTGAAATATAAAAATATGCAAGCTGTAGATATTCTACTGCTCAATTAGGGAAAGGTTACTTGTTCAAGGTACAAGGAATCTTTTTTTTTCAATTATCATTTCCTTTCAAGTATACCAGGGGAAATAGTCCTAAAATCAAATAAAGGGCGAGGACGCGATTACAAGCCATAACTTGTTCTTTCCTGACCGCTTGGTAATGTAGACTATATGATCCCTGAGTTAGGAATTCTTTCTGAGGGACTTGATAAAAGAGAACAGCTTTTATATGGGCCTGTTAGGTTGTTGCATCAACAGCAATTTTTACTTAATATGTATATAACAAAGCAGTCTGTAATTAGTTTTTATTAACCAAGCGGGAGTTCTGTAAGGGAGAATCTTGACTGAGGTCTGTACCAGCGACCGAGGTCAAGATTCTCTCATACAGACCGACCTAGCTCGGTTAATAAGATGTTTATTATATGGCTGTGTCTTGTATGCCAATTTTTTATATTCTTTGTATCTTTTTTTTCTAGACCGGTCTAGATGCTGGTCTAGATGGGAAAATCTAGACCGCTTTCAATATTGATTTCAGCCAATCAAATTTGTGAATTCAGTAGTTCCCAGTCCTTGTGAGACACAGCCATATAATAATTTTTGTTAAAGATTCTTTCCAAAGACAAATGTTTATACGGATCCTGAAATATGTTCATGACTAATGACTTGTAACCTTAATGTTCAATTGAAACCTTTTACTTTGTATATTAGCAGAAAGTAAGGAGGATTACTAATGAGATCTTGGGAGCAAAGGCAGTTGACTCAGAATTGACAGGGGCTGGTGGGTGAGGTGATTTTAATGGCTGAAATTCAACATTGAAAAAACTATTGAGGCTAACTCAGGAGAATTCTTGTGGGGTGATTACTTTCATTAAAGCTGAGAGATCTTTGGTTTTTTCCTCCATTGTCTGGCATATGTCGTAGAGATAAAATGTCAACAATTCACACTGAGCACAGAAACTCATAAGGGTCACTGCGGTAACAAAGGCCTCCACAAAAACACCAAGTATCATGAATGAAACCACTGTCCACTGACTCCTAATGGGACAAAAAATAGAGGATTTTTTCATATTTCACTTATTGCCATGTCACCAACATTTCAACTAAAAATACTTAGTTCTTGCTTATTTTGCCTTTGATTGGAGTAAAATTGATCTTTTACTATCTTCCTTTTTTTGTATTTGAATTCTTAGCTATTAAGTCAAACCTAACAACAAAGGCATGTGATATTTGGACATTTTTTATTGTTTAAATTGATGAGTTATGTATAATACATTTTGACTTCAACAAGTCTTTTACTATTATAACAATAATTGTGATTAATTATCATAATGATTGAGTTTGACTTTTGCATGCACACCACTGATACTCCTTGGAACTTTTATGTCCAAGAATGACATAATGAGAAATTTATCAGACTGAGTATTAATTTTTTAAAGGGGCAGTTAATTTATTATTACTCAGCCTGACTTGGGGTGACATGACAATTAAAGTGGCATATTTACTAATAAGCTTCCAAGTTTCCCTAGACACATGACATGCAGTATCAAATGTATATTGTACTCTTAAATTGACATAAATTATAGTAATTTCATTTCCAGATTTACCTTGAATCGTCTTTGAATCCTGTCACTGAAGCTAAATCAACAACATGTAAATACAGGATTTGAATGGCACTTTCAGCAATTGCCAACATCACCAAGCTCAAGAAAAAAAATCTGCAAACATGAAATGAAAGTCAAAAACTAGACGATCTCAAATTTAAAAAAATGAGAGCTTTCACATTGCATTTATGTGAAAAGGAAGAGTCAGCTTGCCCTTTCACATTTCACGTAAAATAGCAGAAAACTTACTGCTTTAGCTCTGCATGAGCTCACATCTTGGTGAAATTGAATGTACCCTTGTATGACTTACAAGGAATAGTTTTGGTGCTCTTTTTATTAAATTTTTTCCAGCAATTAAAATCTACTCTGTATAAAGAGAAAAAAGTGAGAAAATCTTCTGTACATATGCCAAACATGAAACAGGTTACTTTCCCACAATAAATGGCAAAGTGCAGCAAGCAAATGTGAAAATATGGCAGGGAAAACAAGGTCACCTGGTTACTCCTGCCATTCATGTTTCACATAAACATGCTGCTAAATCTCTCCAACAACATCATTTGTAAAATCTATAGTGTACAAAAAAAACAACATGCTGCTGTAATTACCTTAACCTTGAAACAATCTTCTTAGGAATGGAACTAAGCAAGAAAACCTTGGGAAAGGAAACAAAATAATGAATACTTTTAAAAAAAAAATACTTTTAACGTTTGTGAGAAAGCTTGGGACCAACCTGAGGTGATAATCAGATTGCTCAATTACTCATGACTAGTCCCTTCTACATACAGCCGGCAGTTTAGTACACCTATGTGCAAATTACTGCACTTAAAGTCATTTTCCTACAACCCTACTGTTTCCTTACTCGGAACTGGTCAGCTCTGACGACCACCACAAATTGTATAATATTATCCAAACTTTAATGATTATTCGGTCTAAGAGAAATACATTTGTCATTCGAAATCAGAAAATGCAAATTTAGTCTTAATCTCATGGCAAAATTCAAGAAAACATGACTAGAAACTTACTTCTGTAGCGGGTCGTAAAAACAGGTTTCTCACTTCAGGTTAGCAGATTTGGGTAAGCGCACAGATATAAAAAAAAACCGACTTCTCTGTCTTACTGATTCTTCTGAAAAAACTGGCTTAAAACGTGACTGGCTAACACTTTAAATCATTGTGAGGAATTAATGTCAATCACGAGTTGTGTTAATTAAAATATATCTGTCATCAAAGGCAACGCCTATTTACTAAATGAAACACCTACTTGTTTTACATATAATTTGGCTCTTACTTGATGTAAAAGAAACAGTTGGCTTAAAACAATAGGACAAAAAAACTAGGAAAACAATGGGTTGGAGAAGTGTGACCCCACTCTAGTAACTATGTAAATGCAACTCAAATATAGTCAATCCAGTTGAGAAAATGCAACCCAATCTAGTGGCACATCTCCATTACCTTAACGATCTCTACAAAGTACCCCCCTCCGCTTGGGCCCTCCTACCTCTACTCTATCACCCTTGCCTGAATTTTGGACCTGCAAAGGATGGAAAATTTTCAATGTTTTTCTGCTTCCTCAGACCTTTTCTACCAAGGCATTGAGATCTTCGTTGTCCTGAATCCTAAACAGGTAAATCCCAGTCAAAACTGCCATGAAGTGGAGAAGTTCTGGCACCACGTATTCTGTTAGTAAATGTTTACAATGTTTGAAAGCAGCTGGCTTCCAAACACCTGACGTTGTTGCTGGAGGAACAATTGAAGAGCTTATGTTCTGCCCTTTTGTTAGAGAGCTAGCACCAGTTTGAACAACAAGATTCGTATTCATTCTGTGTGGAGCAATGGAGGTCTACAATACAAACATTGAGAAAAGACAAAAAAAATATATATTATCAAGTATATCAATGAGTTTAGTTTGGTGACATGCACAAGCTTTTTGCAAGTTATTTGATTACATCAAGTTCCTATAATGCCCACAAAGCAAAATCATGGGTCCATAGAAGTAATCATGATCGACAGATCATATACTAGCTTTGGGGTTTGTAGCAAAGGGAGAGTCTGTTAGTCCCTCTTTTCTTCTGACTGTTGCCCAGTTTTATGAAAAATATGTAGGGATAATACTTCTTTGGTTGAAAACCTACAATATTTGTGACTATGGTAGCTAAAAAAGCTTTCATAGACAATAGCTAGTATCTTTTCCACTCAAACATGACCTAAACACTATGGAAAGAATTTAGCTAAGAAGGAAGGGGATTCATAGAAACTTATAGCTCTGGACAGAGGGGGGAGGGGGAGGGGGGACTGACAGAGCACTAAATTCAAACATCTTTTCTTCTTTCAAATGCACAGAATTGATGTACCTTAGGGTTATGGGTATCTATTCCACGGTTGCAAGATATAAGATGTGAGGCATAAGTAAATATGATCAGACAGAAAAACAAAACTGTGTAGATAATGTTGACCACTTTCCAGAGGGAACATCTCTGACGATAAGACATTGACTGGGAGCCAAATGGTCGCCAGGCCACCTAAGAAATATAAATGCTTTATTTTTTAGAAATCAGAGGAAATTTTTATATTGCAATTGTTAACTTATTACCTGTAAAACGGTTGGATAATTAACAATCATTCCACGAGCGCGCGTTGGATATGCGATGATAGATAGCCAACGAGGCGCGTAGCGCCGAGTTGGCTATAATCATCTCATATCCAACAAGCGCGAGTGGAATAATTGTTTTATTAAAAAAAAAAAAAAACGCCCCTAAGATAGACAAATCTTCTCGACTTTATTTCGTGAGAAGAGACCAGATGTTACTATGTACAATTTGTAGATTATGGTATATTGGCTGATATACCATAATGGCTCAGCCAATAAAAAGTCTTGAATTGCATTATCCAATGATCTAGTTTTTAATAATTTGCATTATATGCTAGAAGCAAAATAAAAATATTTATATGATCACAACTAAAGATTGTCCAGTACAATTTAGAAAGGTTATTTAAGTTACTGTCTAAAAATATACTGCTTAAATAAGTCTGGAATGTTTATTGTGTCATAACGGATACGATGGGAGATCTGGATGAGTAAGATTAAACAACAAACCCAAAGAGTGATTATTAATGTTATTGTTGAAAGTGAAAATTTCTCAAGCATGATTTTATTTTCCCCTAGTAAATCACATCCCAAAGGCCTTTGTAGTGTCCATGATTTTCCGAGTTCCACAAGAAGTGCTGACAATACAGCTGTTTTCCAAACTTACCAAGCACAGAATACAGAAATAAGGATAAATAACTTGACGTTTACATTTGAGCAACAGGCTAGCTGTTGAGCAACCATGGTCTTCCTGGAGAGAACTTTGGTCCCTGATCTGCGGTAAAGAAATTTTATGAACACCCAATACACCTACATTATCCAGCAAACAGGTGAATAGAATACTCAACCTCATTAGATAGAAGTTGTTACCTTGATCGAAAACGAGTTTCTCATAGCTAACTTATAAAGAAATGAACGGCAGCTAGAGGGGAGAATTAACGATCAGATCTTGGGAGATGACATAAATTTCCGTTTCTTCCCCGAAATATGTGGCCGCTTACTGACCAAATTGATTTTAATATTTTTCTTAAAACTTTCTGCAAAGAGAATGGACTATCTTTTTTTTTACCTTAGCGAAACAAGTGACCTCAGTTGACACATTTAACGGAAAGTTTCCATCCCAGAGCATGACGTTCCGACATTGTTTTTCCTTTTTGACGTGCACAGCTGCACTAGCCCTCTCGACTCAGTTCTGTGATACAAAAATAACTTCCTTAGAAGCTATGGAAGCACAGTCAATCAACTCTTCTTACCTCAATATTTGTGCTGTCCAAGATGTCTATAAAGGATGATCCACTGTTACGGCTTTTCACAGTATCTTCCAACTCATTTACTCTGTCGTCGCAATTTCCGCGCATTGTTTGTTGTAAAAAAAAAAAAAAACTATTCGCAATGAAGACTGTTGGACGCTGAAAGAAAACAATTAAGCGCAATTCTCTGCTCTGTAGCGACCAAGAAAGCGTCAAAACATCCACCAGTCACCCGCAACGCATCTGGAGGTACGGAGACTGTTGACTTCCTGCACGTGACACCTGATGATCGAGATTGTCATGTGAGTAAACACCCGTTTCCCGGAAAAACATGGGTTACACCAATATTACTATAGAAGCATTTCTTCAATTCATGACACAAATTTATCACGAGTTTGTTCCACAGTAAGGCAGTCCGGAAAAAAATTTCCCTGGTAAATAAATTAGGAGTGGTGCACATAGATGCTATAGGTGGTTTGCACGTTACGTCACCGCCGCCATATTGGTGGACATAAACAATAGATATCTCATCAATCAATCAATCAATAATCTTTATTTATACACGATAAGTATTTAAAGCGACACTTCGCTTTTGGGGTCGTGTCTAAATAATTAAGATAACTAATGAATTAGAGAATAAACAGGATGTACCCAGCTAAAATCATATCGCTACTTACTACTTACAAGTCTAAAACGATAAAAGCTTAAAATTCTAAAAAACAAGGTGGTACTCTAATATCGTCTAATTATTAACACTAATTATACTTAAATTCTTTCTCCCTTCTGCTTAATGTTTGAGGGGAGATACAGTCGAAATCAAGGTGTTGCAAAGCCTTAGATCGTCTTGCCATAATCGTATATTTCTTAACTTTGTCTATATTGTCATTAAGTTGGGGAACCAACGTGTTCCAAACTCTTGCTCCTCTACGAGCTACAGAGTTTCTCATGTAGTAGGTGTTAAAACGAGGGACATAAATTTTCAGTTTCTTCCTAAGTTGAAATCGCTTGATGTTATCATTGTTCTTAGCTTCTTTTGTTCGTCCACCAGCATTTGTTCCTTTCACCATTGTTACCTGTGTCCCTAGAGAATGGTTGCAAACCACTTATACTGTTTCCCTTATTGTCACCTTAGGAAAGAAAACCTGCTAGAAGTAACGTGGTTGTGGTTGCGTGACATAAGGGAATTTAAGCAAACCACGACGGCGACGGCAACGAGAGCGTGGAAAAACAATAGATCTAATTGGCAGAACAATAGCCCAGCACGTGCGTTTCAAAACTTTGTACATTTCGTAGCCGTCCTTTACAAAACAACGACGTAAAATCACCAATATTTCCGTCGTCTGCGAACCGAAACCGCGGCGGCAAATTATTTTAATTTACATTTGGAACTCAACGCTACTTTTACTCGTTATGTTGAGTTTGAGGTCTGGCGCCCTATGAGACGGTAAACACATGCAGCCATTTTCGAAGTTCTAACTAAAAGTAGAAACTCATTTTTTAATTGAAGTCTTCCGTGGCGTTGCCGTCGTGACTGCTTAAGTTCCCTGTAAAGTAACAACCGGAAGTCAACAACTCTTTCCCAAGAGGAGGCTCAAAGACCCTAAACTGTTTTTTTTTTTAACTTACGACGAAGCCAAGTTAGCATTGTTAGATAGAGCTCTGTGAAATTTGATAAATTTCCTAGTCCAAAGGCGATTTGTTAAAAAGTAACAAAGATGACTCAACAAAGTCAGTACTTTATCTTTAATCTTTATCTTTAATGAGTAAACTCCTAAGACAGCAAAAAAAACTATACTAGGAGTTTCAAAATAATATTATGAAAAATAACAATAACAATTTAAAAAACAATGGCACTAAGTAATGAACAACAATCGGTTAAAACTCTTGATATATAAATATGATCTATGAATTACAAATAAATATAAAAACAACAATAGAACACATTGAATATATAAATATAGCTATAACATAACGTACTATTCCTAAAATAAAAGATTAAAACAATTGATAGATGTCAATTAGATGACTTGATGGCTGCAAGATCAATTGCCTTAAACTCATTTAAGTTAACGTCTTTACTGATAGGTAGATTGTTCCATAATACTTTTGTCTTTGGGTAAAAAGAAAACTTGTACACATTAGTTGATACGCTGATTTGGCAGAAAAGACGACTGTTCGCTAATCTGGTAGCTCTTGTTATTTCTTGAATTTCGGGAGGGAAATAATACCCACATGGCACGTTAAGATCTTGTAAAACATACTCGAGATTGAAGAAGGAGTCGGCGATTTTCAAGGGAGTCCAAACCGAGACGTTCAAACTGTCCGAAATCGGGAGCATCCTAAACCAGACGGCAGTGTCCGAGATAGGGAGGAACTTTTCAAATCCTGACGATGTCTAGTTTGGTTATGATAGATCTCTATGGACAGTGGCGTTACGATTTTCTATCTACTCCCCTGGAAATAATTTCAGGTGACTCCAATGACAGTTTGTAAATGTCGTGTCTAAGAACACGACATAAACCATTCTAGGCGGTTATCTAGCTTTGGGACAAACTTACCTCGAGAACCCTGCAGATATCAGCTGGCCTCAAAGGTTGTCGAGCAACAAGACCCATCCTGTCGTAGTCCATACCAACTTATCACGATACAAACTATTGTCAGCCAAGAATGCAACATAATGGAGAAACTTAATGAGCAGAGACGTGTCTAAGAAGCAGAGGGCAAAAGAGATAGGAATGGAACTAATTCTAGCATGCTTTCGCATCCATGAATCAACTGCAAGGTCTTCGTTTAAGCATGTCTACAAGATGGACCTCAGCAGCCCTGTGAAGTTGCTCCGCATTTCAAACCAGACTACATAAAAAATGTCAACACCTGTCAAGTATGTTGTCATCTACTAATCAAATACTTTGATCACCTTGCGAGTTTGGAAAAATATTTAACAATTATTCCACGAGCGCGCTTGTTGGATATGAGATAATAGATAGCCAACGAGGCGCGTGGCGCCGAGTTGGCTATATTCATCTCATATCCAACAAGCGCGAGTAGAACAATTGTTTTATCAAAAACGTTAAATTAAATTATTAAATTTTATCAAATTTTTTAGCTGCCTTTTAATTTTAAGCTGACATGTACGCTCACCATATTTGTAGATTAACCGCCGCCTGGTTAGCTCAATTGGGAGAGCGCCGGACTGCTGTGCGGGAGGTCGAGAGTTCAATACCGGCCGGACCAACACTCAGGGTCTTAAAATTAACTGAGAAGAATATGCTTCCTTTCTTTAACATCAAGAAATGGTTAGATATTCTAGTCTTCTCGGATAGGGACGAATAAATGGAGGTCCCGTCTCCTGCAGGGTTAGGGGCAGGAGACGTTAATTTCCCACGCACGAGATTACTGTGTGATGGATGTCCTCCCCTGGGGTGGGATGGGTGGGTAACAGGACCCCCGTTGATACCAGTGTTTACTACACTGAAGGGGCTATCCTGTATAAATATAGATGTCTGTCTGTCTATCTGTCTGATTATGGTATATTAGTTCATATACCATAATGGCTAAGCCAATGAAATGTCTTGAATTGCATTATCCAATGATCCAGTTTTTAATAATACTTATTATAATTATTAAATTATTACAATCATCACATGTATCATAGTTATTGCAACTACTACAATTGTTATAATAAGTGCAGTCATAAACATTACATATATTACAAATACCAATAATATTTCTAAACAATATTTATTGAGAATTTCTATATACATGAATAGTTCTTGCATTATTGGTGAACATGTCTCTTTCTCATTGGATTTTTCATGTAAATAGATAATCAAATTGTCATGTTTAGTTTAATCTACCACTGTAAAAGTAATCTTTTTGAGAAAGAGGTGCATTTATGATGCAAAATTATAGAGATATATCACCAACATTTGTCATTTGCAATACACAAATTATATGCCTTGGACTAGCACATAAATAATTACATCAGCCATTTCTTTAATAATTGCTTTTATTCATCATTATACAACAATCTAAAATAAAACATGCATTATGATTGGTTCTTGCTTAAGATGTATTGAAGGACAGAAGCATAGATTATCTCATCTTATTGGCTGGCACCATTTTGTTTTTCATCATATAAAACAGATACATTCCATGCTGCCAAGGCTCTGTACAGTTAAAAGATCACTGAAGACATCAAACTGTGGTAAGAACAGTGACACACTTGGCTCTGCTCTGTTTACCACTTATTTATTCTTACCACATTTTGATGTCATCTGTGATCTGTTACTGAAAAGAAGTACATGGAATCTATCTGCAAGTAACACTATACCTGTAATCCTTCATAACAATATTTTACTGAATACCAAATGCAACAAATAAGACAACTTTTTTTTTTAGAGTCTAGAAAGGAATTCATCAGAAATCCTGTTTTTTCCCTTGTTAAAATTTCAAAGGAAATTTTCATAACAAAAGCAATTACCAAAGTGAACCAGAAAGACTGCTCTTTTTGTGCACAGAAAAGTTTCTCTGACAATAGAATGCTCAACATAAGATAGGTATGACAGAAATTTGAATACTTCATTCTAAGATAATCATTTTCAGACATCTTACCCTTACATGTTTTGCTTGAAATCATGTTCCAGTACTGATGCATTAATTAAGACAGACTAGATAAAATGAAACACATTGATCAGCTGCTGTTACCCAGTGCAACTCAGGAAAGCCATTTTGCTAGGATTTCCCTCTCCAGGTAAACTGTAGGTAATCTTTTTTAATTCTCCCTGGTAGGGACACAAATTGATGTCACATCAGGGTCCTTTTTTATAGGTATGTATTTTTGCCAGCAAGAATGCCCAACTGTAACATGAGTAGGAGCACAAACACCACTACTGCAACTACACCAGACAGAAACGAGCATTGAACTGGCAAGAACAGAAGCTTGGCCTGAAAGATGAACAGACAATTGTCATTTGCTGATACCTTGGATGCAATTACTAACTAAAGTTAACTTAACCCTATAACTCTTAAGATCAAATTGCTAATTCTCCCCTCTAGCTGCTACACATTCCCTTGTAAATCAGTTACGAGAAAGAAGTGTTAGATCAAGATGCTTGCTGAATAATTTATGAATATCATAGGAAGAACCACATCTCTACATGCTCTATTGATGTATAATCCATAGGTATGACAATGGAGTCTTGCACCAAACAAAATTTCAATGAAATATGGAAGGGGGAGGGGGGAGAGAGAACCCCATCTTCCCCAAGAGACCCTCCCTTACCACCAAAGTCTTTGAGAAACAAACTGTCCCATTGACCTCAGCCATTAATAAAGGTACATAATTTACCTTCATTTCAGCACTGTGTGTAAACAATACAAATGAGTCCAAATCAAGTTGAGAAGCAGAAGGATATCCAAACACTCTGGTATGTAAACTACTCTGTTTCAGTTTGCGAGCAGCTGAAGTCAAACGAGCAGCCTTGAAAGACACAATGACAAGTAAATAACACACTGTTAAACAAATACACTTGGAGAGTATGGACATTTGGTGCGAAGACAGACTTCAAAGTTAGCATAGCATGTAAAGTAACAACAACAATGATATTTTTACTTGTATATTTTTTAATCAAAAGTTTACACCCTTACATTAGTATGCATATTCGCCATATCATTCTTCAAACATTTTTTAAGGTGTTGAAAGGACAGTGTTTTAACAATAAAGAACTCCTTCAGTTGGTGATCATTTCCTATATTCTCCTGACCTTAATGTTTGACTTAGAGGTGATATTGTAAGGAGAAATAAGATGCTCATCACTTTAAGGGGTCAAAGAGATAGAGAGAGAACTAGAAAAATTTAGACAGATGGAAAAAAATAAGGAAAAAAATGTGATCATAGTTGAAATATTTGCAATTAGAGAAACCACAGCCCTTTAGAAACAGCTATAACTAAAAGCAATCTTACAAGTGGCACATTGTGCAAATGTAATATATGTGAACAATAGAATTACCTCAACCATTCTTTATATATCTTAGTTTATTTTATTACCTAATTATCCTACCGACTTTTTTTTTTTACATTACCAGTTCTTCATGTTAAACATTTATTTTTAGTATATTTATCACGAGTAATAATACTTTACTAGTTACTAGAAACCATGTTACCACATTATGTATTCTTTTTTAGGTAGTATATTATTTTAAGTAATTTATATTCTCATTATATTAATATACAGTATCTGTATACTTTTAGTTAACTGTAGACATAGAATTTTATATATTCAAATGACTGTATTTAGTACGAGTCACTGGCTCATTTTACATCTTGAATTGAAATAAATTTATCTATCCATCTATCTATCTATCTAGTTACTATAAGTCAAACTGAGTGATAAAAATGGTTGAACACTTTGCCCCCTAACAGTGACCAGTGTCTTATTTCTCCAAACATCTTACCCAAAACACAAATTAAGGTCACATGAATAAAGGCGATCTAGATTGTTTAACAAATTCTCCTTGTCAGCACCTTAGGAAATGTAACGAGAACAGTATGGAGAATATGCATACTGATGTGAGGGTGTCACTGGTTAAGTTACTTACAATGGTGATAGGGAAAATGATGATGGTAAAGCTGATCAGTGTTGCAGAGATTCTGTACATCAGCTTGCTCTTGTCTAATAACAATTTTTCAAACTGAAGTGACAAGTTACAAACCCCTAAAAAGAAATCCAAATTACCATGATTCAGCTTTGATATTTACTGCAAGTCCTAACCCTAATACACAACCAAACAAACAAGAATAAAGATCATGATGTACTATCAAAAAATCCAAAATGATTCAAAATTCAAAAATTCAAAAAATTCAAGCAGAAATCAACTTTTATTCTTAATTACCTATCACAGAAAGTTCAAAATAACTAAACACTATAAGAGTTGCAATCACTGATATAAGTCCATTCACTCGGGAGAGATTTTTCTTTACTTCAAGAATATCCTACAGCAAAAAATAAAAAGAGCAGGTATAATAGGGTTAGTCTTGCCATTGAATGATCACTATCCATTCTGATCAATAGACAATAATTCTTAGCATAACTGTTTTCTTTGATAATTTTGAAGCCTAATTTAGGAAAATCTAACAAAACACAAAATTATCTTAGAAATATAATACATTCTACTGAATTGACACTAAGTCTATCAGGTATGACCGGCACCCCTCCCCTGTGATAACCCAGTATCAAATTCTCACCATCCCAACCTTCCTAGTAATTCATGTCATAGGTTCCATTCTCCCGACTCTTCCCTCCAAAACAAAATGAAGAAAAGCTCTAAAGTCAATTAAGGAGGGAGAGGGGGAGGAGAGGAGGGGAAGGGAGAGGGGGGAGTGAGAAGGGGGTGGGGGAGGGGAAGGGAGAGGGGGATGGAGAGGAGGGGGAGGGGAGAGGAGGGGAGGTAAAGGGTGGAATATTTTACAAAACCATTACCTTCATTATGTTGTCAAGATCTTTGGTTTTCTCTTCCATGCGCAAGGTAATTTCACGAATATAGAATATCAATAATTCACACTGAGCACAGTAATTTACAATAGTGACAATGCTGACACATAACTGCACAAGTCGACCCAGTCCCATTACAATTGCTGCTACCCAAGTGGCACTAAGGAAAAAACACAGGTTTGAGTTACATTTTAGTCACCCTCCACACATTCCAAGCTGCTCTTCCTCTTCGTCCAGCATTGCTATTATATCCCCTGAAGTGAAATTTAAGGCCCTCAGTCACTTAGATCCACTTGAGGTAAAAAGACCTTCTCTCTGGTAGGCTCCTCTCTCACTCTCTAATATGTCCTTATCTCTGATATTCCCCTCTCTAATAAACCCCCTTCCCTGATTAGACCTTCTCTCTGCTGGGCTCCTCTCTCAGTCTCTAATATGTCCTTATCTCTGATATGCCCTTCTCTAATAAACCTCCTTCCCTGATTAGACCTTTTCTCTGCTAAGCTCCTCTCTCAGTCTCTAATATGTCCTTATCTCTAATATTCCCCTCTCCAATAAACCCCCTTCCCTGATTAGACCTTCTCTCTGCTAAGCTCTTCTCTCAGTCCCTAATATGTCCTTATCTTTAATATTCCCCTCTCTAATAAACCTCTTTCACTGATTAGGCTCTGTCTCTGATATGCCCTCTCTCTAGTAAGGCCTCCTTTGAATAAAACCCCCTCTTTAATAAAACCCTCTCTTTATTAAGCCCCCTTTTCTTATTAACCCCCACCTAAATATGTTCCCCTCTCTCTAATAAGGATCCATCTCTAACAAGACCCTTTCTCTAGTGTACCCCATTTTCTGTTAAGCTCCCATCTCTAATGTGTCTCTCTACTATTAAGGATCCCTGTCTAAGACCCCTTCTCTTTAGGACCCTCTCTCAAATATTCCCCATCTATATTATGCCCCCTCTCTAAAAAGCCCCCTCTCTTAGGTGCCCCCCCCTCTCTATTGGGCTCCCCTCTCTCATAGGTGCCCTATCTAATGTGCTCCCCTCTCTAATAAAACCTCCTATCTAATAAATAAGCCCCCTTTCTATTAAGCTCCTCTCTCTAATAAGCACCCCTCTCTAATAAGCCCTCTCTCCAAAAAGACCCCTATTCTAAAAAGTCTCCCTCTCTAATGTGCCCCCTCTCTTTTATACTCCCCTCAGTGACAGGACCTGCTCTCTAATGGGATCTCTCTATCAAGCCTTTCTCTCTGACATGTTTGCCTTACCTTGGGATATGTCTGAATCCTGTTACTGACCCCAATTTGAAGGCATAACAAAACAGAATAAAATTACAGACACCAAGGAACACTAAGAAAAATCCACCAAAAAGGAAAAACCTGTCAAAGGCAACAAAACTGACAATCAAATGCTTTCTGTCTGATGGTTTTAATCAAGAATAACTGATAAAAACCACTCAGAGAAAGAGACAACCATGTAGAATAATTAATAATTTGTTTCAAAGCATTGTTGTGCTTCAATATTTCTCTTGATTTAAAATCTTTAAAACCAGATTCTTTTTCTCTTCTCTCTGTCCAGTATTAATGCAAAACAAATAAAACAAAAATCGAACTTGCTTCAAAGACTTTTTAAGCAAGGAGACTTTCTAATGACAACTGCATAATTCACCAAGTCTACATACACACAAATCACAATTTAAGTGCATAATTTGGAGAAATAACACATACCGCAGTCTTGAGGTGATCTTTTTGGGAACTGAACTAAGCAAAAAAACCTGTGAACAATTAATTAATCAGATGTTGTAACAATTTAATAAAATTCTATAACACTTTTAGAAGAGGGTTGAACTACAATGAAATCATTAGGGGCCACAGATAAGTAATTTGGTTAGTAAGTTGACTTCTAAACTGACCAATCTCAAGAAAAAACACTTTTGTCATAAAACCTTACCACTCAAGAAGGAGACTGCCTGGAATAAAAACTCAGTCAAGACACCTAAAAATAGCAACATTCCAAAGTATACCTTTTCTATAAGTGCGTGGAGGCCCTCACTCTCCTGAATCCTAAACATGTAGAATCCGATCAAAAATGCCAGAAAATGAAGAACATCTGGGACCACATACGTGCTAAATATATGAGTACACTCTGTGACTGCAGGATCCCAAGCTGCCTGTCTTGCTGCCAAGGTATAAAACTGTATCATTGAACGAGGTGTTTTGGTTGTGTGTACTGAAGGAGTAGTAGTTGAAGTGTTAATCCTCATCAATGACTGGGATGTAGTGTGTGTGGTTGATGTTATATTTGTTTGGTTTGTTGTTGTTGTTATTGATGTTGTACTAACATTGTAATGATGACTGGCTGGTTGTTGAGTTGTTGGAAGTCTTGTAGTTTGTGTCTGGAGTGATAAAAACAAAGAGAAATGTCATGATCAAAAGTAATTGAGAGACCAAAAGAATAATTCTCCCTAGAATTTCCATACAAATCAAGCAGACAAGTCATGACAATAAAGTAAAATACCAGTTAAGGGATTACTAGCTGATCCAGAATTGAATGGCAGACAGCAAGGAGACTTACTGATGAGATCGTGGCAGTGAAATGCTTAAACTACTGCTACAGTTGGTGAGAAATACTATGCAATGAATTGTATGCATGCATTAAATCCATGTTTACTTTAAAACATGACTGTTCACCTAACAACAATCTAAACCTAACAAGTTTTAAAAAATTTGGATAGATAATTTGAAGCTATAACATACTAATACACGACAGCTGTGGAATCTATCGGCAAACTGCACACTAAGTTATCCTAATCAGCTTTACTCTTACTACGAGTATAAATGTCACAAATTAAACCAACAAGTATTACCTTTTGGACCTCTGAGAGAAAAAATTATCTAACATCTTACAACAAGACCCCTGGATCAAACAGCAAGGTCACAAGAATAAAGTAAATGATCACCAACTAAAGAGGATCGCAATTATTAAACAAATTCTCTTTGCTGTAATCATGGGAAATTTATTGAGAACTATATAGGGAATATGCATACCGATGCTATGTTACAAAGAGTTAATAAGTCTACATGCTGCATACCAGAGGTATCTCCAGCCTGGCTTGACAGGCTATTATGCTTGATACATAGCTGAAGATAATCAGGACAAAAATAATCAGCGTATATACAACGTTCAAAAATTTCCGCAATGAACATCCTTGGTAACGGAATGATTGAATGTTAAATGGTCGCCAGGCAACCTGAAAAATGAAGAAAATGACAGTCACTAGTATCAACTCTGAATCAAGGGGAAAGAAATGAACCCTTTGACCTCTGAGAGTGATTAAAATCTAATTTCTCCTTACAACATCACTACTGTACAAAACCTTAAGGTCAGGAGAATAAAGGAAATGATCACCTATCAAAGAAGCTCTTGATTGTTTGACAAATTCTCCTTGTCAGCTCCTTAGGAAATGTATTATTAGAGAACAATAAGGAGAATATGCACATTGATGTTAGGGTGTTAAGGTCAAGTCAACAGTTGAAGAGAGGTTTTTTTCTTTCCACAGGTGTGGGACAAAGAGGAATGAACCTCAAACATTTAAATTCTGTTCTATTTCCTACCACAGAAAGCAGTGACTCTTAGGTAAGCAAGGCCATTACAAGGTTCTTAAAAATGTTACCAAGATTGTATATGCTGGCCTAATGCAGAGGATTATAAATGACTAAGACTTTTGCCAAGTTTGGTCTGCGTCTTTGTGTTGGGTTAATCATGGATTCTAAACTTACCAAGGAGAGTATGTAGAAATAAGGATAAATAACCTGGCTTTTACATGTTAACAACAGGCTAGTTGTAGCATTGAAGTCTCCTTTCTCTTGATCTCTGATCTGTAACAAGTCAGTTCACAAATATCATTGACAATGATATAACACTGGATATATAGCTTTTGTTACTTCGTGTTTGAACATGTATTCTCGAGTTGTGATGCATCCATGTTGTGGTGCTTTTCTCTATAGTTAAGAGTGTCCCCCACATCAAAGAAATACCAAAAGGGAGGAGAGGTTGAGGATGCATCTGACCTTCCCTACCCCCTTGTATCAGGAGAAAGAGAAGCTCAACTCTTTCCCACATCAGGTTTCCTATTGATCCTTTTTCTGTGTTATGAAACTTTTGTTGAGATAAATATTTCATTCATCTACTTGTCTGTTAAGTAATTACTCACGGTCTGTTACTCATTGATTGAAGATGGCATAAGCATGCCAAAACATGTCTCTCAAAAAAGTTGTCTATTTCTTACAATGTTAAAATGTCAGTCTATTTTATCTCAATAAACTTGAAAAAGTAAGCTTATCGCATCGTAACTATTAAAAAACCGTGATAAAAATCGAAATATAAAGTGGTCAAATTTATGAGAAATCATGTCTTGAAAGATGGTTGATGTGGTGCTAGTGGTAGTTAATTAGCTGGGCAAGATTTCTGTATAATCTCATACTTCATTATGCATACAATTCTTGGATAAAAGAAAACAGAGGCAAAACAACAGATAACCTTTGGGACTTCGGCTTTGTTTTTGAGTGGTATGGGGTTATACGAAAATTTTCCGTTAACTGTTCTATATTTACGACTGCAAACATTGCCATAAAAGCGTTTGTTTAAATTAAAAAATACGCAATGCTCGGATCAGGAACGCGTCATAACTGGAAAAAAATTACGATCGAGGAAGAAGCGTGAATCATTCTAAGTTTGATAACACATACATTTAATTATAACTTAATAAAAGTTAAACTTTAAAAAGTTTAACTTTCTGAGAAAGATTGTGTAATATTTACCTGGAAAACTCCGCGAACGTTCTCGAAAGAGAAGAAAAAACCTTTAACGACTTTCAGCTGAAAATCTTACAAGGAAATTATGTAAGAATTCCAAGATAATTCAATTTGACAGCGACCTGCACGCGATGCACAAACCGAAACTGGCCTTTGTCCTAACAAATGATCATCTTCAAGCCAGAGCGAGTATTATATCACGTTTAATCAAAACAATTCCATTCTAACCTCAACGCTTGTACAGTCCCAGATATCAGCAAAAGATGATCCACCGGCACTTCCAACAGTATCTTCCAATTCGTTCAAACCTTTTTCGTTGCTCCGGCTATTTATGCTTCCGTTTCGCGCTACAAGCATTGTACTAGGTAAAAGTCTTCGTAGCGCTGACCTCTGCAGCACAACAGAAAATATGGTTTCATGAGCAGGATTTTTCTTCTCTTTGACAGAAATAAGAGGTCCAAATTACCAGAGTTGTGCTGCTGTAAACTGCGTCCCAACTGTTGCCCTGAGCGCTCCTTTGCTCAGCTGATATCTCCTGAGACAAGTACACTTGTTTATCTTGCATTCTTGTTATGCTAATTTTGGGCGCGTCTTTCGTTGTGTCTCAAAATTGCAGTAAAATAAGGCACCTTCTACTCCCACCCCCTGCCCCCGCGCGCTAACCAAAAAAAATGTGAAACAAAATACCCCACAATAACCAAACAAAGCAAAAAAGAAGGAAATGCCTGAGTGCAGGTCAATTAAACGCGTTCAACTCAGAGTGGAGGAACAATAACATCGAATTATACAGCTTGTTAAAACTTTCTTAAACGTATCACGCTGATCTCGTTGGTTAGAGAAAAAAATATTTATTTCGTGTCGCAGAAGCATATTTCGACTGGGGCTAACATTTTAAGAACTGGGCGTAACAATGTGACAATCTCAATTCGCTCCGACGAAGGGCTAACGCTCGAAACGTCAGCTTTTAGAATCGTTACGGTGGCCAATTTATCACTTCAACTTTGTTGATATATCCAAATTATTTCGTTACTCCCACCAACGCAGCCCCAAACAGTTTCTTTCGAAACCATCAGCCTTTATTCATTGACAATCCCGTTACCGTGGGACCCAGAGAGGGTCCCTGACCAAATTGAGAAAAGGAATATAATATAGAATGGACTAGCAATTACATCGCACCCCGCTCCCCCTTCCGGTCTCCAGTAAAATCACGTTTGCTTTAAAAAGGCTTAAGGTGTAGACAAGTTAAACCCGTAAAGAACTGTCGACTCGCAGTCTCGGGAGGAAAAAGAAGATTAAAGTAGGAGAACAAAGAACAAAGAGAACAAAGAAAATAAGAAACAAATAGAATCAAAGGAAGAGAACTTGCTTTAACAGAGGACATACTTGAGGAAGCATACCATTGTAGAGTAGCCTGGATAACAACAATTCTTATCAAACGAAGACAGGCTAGGATTACTAACCATTCCGCTTTATTAAAAAACATGGTGATCTATATTCGCACTTTTATTTAGCACTGATAACAAGCTAGGGCGTCTACGCAAAATACTGTATCTAAAATAATAAAACTTAACTTGTTCATCGCTCATTAAAATTGTTTTAATGTTTTGCTACCTTCACTCTATGCATTGCCACTGAGGAACCTCACCAATTTAGAGACTACAATTTCACACAAATCAGTATTTATGTTATGGGGAAGCTTTTCATGACCAATAGGGCACTTTTCAGGAAGCACCATTACTTTACGGGTTACAACGCTCTTTTTAACAGATAAGCGACACGAGATATAAGCTCGGTGGTGTATTAAGAGCATGACCGCTCAGTCATTCAATAAAACCGTATTTTAATACTTAGTTCTTATTGACCGAGCGGGAGGTCTGTATGGAAGAATCCGAGGTCGCCAGTACAGACCGAACGCAGTGAGGTCTGTACCAGCGACCGACCTAGCTCGTTTAATAAGCTGTTTATTATATGGCTGTGTCTTGTATGCCAATTTTTTATATTCTTTGCATCATTTTTTCTAGACCGGTCTAGATGGGAAAATCTAGACCGCTTTCAATATTGATTTCATCCAATCAAATTCGTGAATTCGGTAGTTCCCAGTCCTTGTGAGACAGCCATATAATAATAGAACAGTATAAATTACCGTAGTACAATAAAAACAATAAAAACTTTAAGTTTTTAAATCATGAAAAAACACGACAAATCGTCGCGTATCACACAGTAACATTTTTAGCTTTTCGTTCAATTCGTTTTGCAATAATTTGGTCGAGTTAAAAGTGTTCTGTACAAAATTGTGTTAACGAACAAGGTCCCGCCTCTAGAGTTAATAAATAAAGCACACTATTCGTGCTCAATGTTCGGAGACCGAAGTTACCGAAATTTCTACGAAACGTCGCACGAACTACCCGATTATACAACTAACACGGGCTCTCTTCTCTAATTAAACGAGTCTTGCGCGTCAGAGTTCATTGGCCCCCCTAAAACTAAGAAGTATTCAAAAAAGATTTTAAAAAAATCTCTAACCCTGTTTAAAATAAATGGCTTACTCTCGAATTCAGGCCGAGCGCTAAAACATCATCCAAAACCAAAACGTTCTCATTAAAATACACATTTGAAAGCATGATTTAAAATAACTGAATTCAATGTGTAAAAAAAAACAAAAAAACGCACTTAAACAAACTCAATCTGTATTTACATGGATAAGAAAAGACTTTATACAGAGCTTCTCAGGAGAAGTTATTCTGTGCTTTCAAAGTCGCGATTAAACCTCTCCCCATTAACTTTCCTCGTTTTGCTTTGTTTTGTCTCGTTTTAGCGTTTACTTTTGTTAACAAATCATTAAATCTTACCCTTTGTGACGTGTTACTAAAACGCAACCAATAAATTCTAATGTTAATCTTTGCATAAAAAATGAAGAGTTGAATCTTTTCGCAGCTAAAACACACCTCTCAGTTCATTGTGATAAGGGCAAAAATTAGACCAAGGTTTTCTAAACTTTAAACCCCAAACCTAGAAAACCTAGTCCGAGGAACACGTAAAATTCTGCAGATTTTTTCAGATGGATTATGAACGAAGGTTTTCTGCTTCTCAGTTAAAAAAAAACCCAACTCCTTCTGAACTCTGTGCGGTCCCAAGTCACCACTGTTGCTTTGTGCGTGCTTTCTTTCATGAGCCACCACTTCATTTCCTTCCCAAAGAGCAGTTTGTGTAGACATCAGTAACCAAAGTTTTTAAATGTCTTGCTCAGCGTCATGAAGTAAATCTGGCCACTCGAACTCGACCGAGAAGCGAAGAAAACCTGAAATGAAGAAGAGCAAAAATTACAAAAGAGTGACAAGTTTTAGAATTAGCATGACAACACATCGTCAAACGAAATGCGTAACCGTGTCACATGACCACAGACACAAAGATTTAGGAGAGACTTAACCTTTTCGTTTCTCTCACAGAGGAATCTAAACGTCTGGGCTCTTTTGTGCATGAACACACCATCCAGAAGGCCCGTCTCCACAGATCGCACCTCAATGGCCTTTTCTCCCCATCCCATGATTTGTCCGGAGCCTATATGAGCTGCAATAAAAGTTGAAATTGTAAAAAATAGAGTTCTTTTCGATTGGGTGTCGTCAAACCAAAATCAAAGTGATCACTGAGGCCAATCAAGACAATGGCTTATATCACAAGAAGCCAATGAGATCTCAGAATTGTCAATCTGTCTGAAGCGCGGGAAAACGCGAGTCACCGAGTTGTAATTGGTTTTAGTTTGGAATTTGATTGGTCGAGAAAGTAGCACGTGTTGTCTAAACCAATCACAACGCGGAATAGTCTAAAGCAAAAATTGCTTTTGGCGCTCAATTGAAAACGTCTCAAAATTTTTCCTGACGAGAGCGATAGTACGCCAAGGGTAATTTTAAAGGCGAAAGTGCTTCTTTACAAGCGCGAGATTTTACCGCCAACTTTTGAAAAGTGCTGACAATTTTAAAATACCTTTTTGACAATTTTTTTTTAAAAAATAATTTGAAACCGAAGTAGAGTTAATCCTTTTGTTAATGGAAGACTTACCGATAGCGTAAGGGGTCTCCCCCCACTGCAACACAGCATGTCTCACCAGTTCTCCATTCGTATTCACATAAACACCCTCATCTAGGTAAAATGTAGCAGTATTACAACTCTAAATTAAAATATAAGTTATGCTGTAATGCTAACGACCAAACCATTTCGTCGCATTTCCAACAAAACAATCCGTTTCCATACAATTTTAAACCCTAGCGTTTGATTGCAGAAGATTCCATCCTACTCTGGATGGTTTCCTCTCAGTTTGGTCGGACTCGTCCGTTCGGGACGTTTCCGCCTGATTTCGGTCGATTTCGTATGAATTCGGACGATTACGTCTAATTTCGTAAGGTTCCCTGCAGTTACGGAGGGTTTCGTCAAACATCGAATGGCTCCGACAGAAGAGGTTGAAATCGGACAGAACCGCTCGAACTTAGAAGGAAACTCTAAGATCCGATGAAAAGTTATGCTGGTTTGAGAAACCTCAAAACTCATAGCGAAGCTCTTTAGGTTAGTTATGCAATTGTACTTACTGTTAAAACAGAGAAGAAGTTCTAAACCACTCGAACCTAAAACACAATAGGAACACTCAATGACAACCAGCTAAACAACATCGAAAAAGGCAAAGACAGTTTTCACTCATTAAAGAGTTAAACTCCAGGTCGACTTAAAAAAAGCGAAACAGTAAACATCTGACTTGATATCATTGAAACAAACGGCTGACAGAATCACAAATTCCCCTTAACAGTCTCCATATGGTTCGTCTCTCTTTAGAGGGGAGAAAATCACAACGATCCTTACTTGGTAAAGGTATGATAGCATGCGGCTGGAAATTTTCTTGAAGCTGTAAAAACGTAAGAAAAAGAGTGAAAATGAGAATCAACTTCGACCTAACATAATTCCTGAAATGAGTATTCCTTTACTTCCTGGAAAAACATTGTTCAATATTGACAACGACAACAGGAAAGAAATCATTCGATCAAACTGACCTGATTGGGAATAAATAAATCGTTAACTGATGCTGAGTCCAAGTCGACAGCATGAAATCCTACAACACAAAACTGGATGAATAAGCATATTCTCTCCGGTTTCCTCTCTGTATTCAAATAACACAATGAAAGAGGATATAATCGAGTGATTTTATTATTTATGACCGCAATCTGAACCTCTAGGATTTACGAGCCATCCCCGAGTTCCAAAACCGTCCCTTGCAAATTGAGGCAAACCGCAAAACCTTTTTGGTGTAAATGAATTGTACGCCAATGAGAGCTGAATCCTTGTCATTTGACAGGTTTCTCACTTACCCTCGTTATCAAACAGAGGCTTGGGGCACTTCGTCGCACCCTCTGCGCTCAGAAATTCGAGTTCTCCTTTCGTAGAAATAATATTTTATAAAATTTGTGACGAGTAAGTACTGGGGAGTTTTTTTCCAGGGGGGAGGGGTAGAGGGTAAGGTTGCACTGACCTATTTCAGAGGAGTAACAGACTTTTAGTCTGCTGTTTTCCGCCTCTATCGTCACATTCAACATCAGAGGTTTCTGGGGCAAGTACGGAAAGGACTGCGGAAAGAAAAAAAAAACACTTCTCGATGAGAACTAGATGGAAGTGATCAGAAAGTGCTTAGTACAAGAAATTCATGAGAGATCCTGTAGACTTTGGCAGCAACTTAAGTACACTCTCCCCATTTCTAATCTACCCACCCGGTCGAATGGATAGGGGTGAGACTGGGATTATGATTTCCTAATCACGGATGCGTCCAGTGTTCCTTCGGAAAGTTTCCACACAAAGTACCGGGCTCAAAGATTCGTTCTACGGCTCGATGTTTGAGACAGTGAGCTAAAAAAAACCATCGACAATCAAAAATTCAGTTATGCAGTAGCTACTCAATTGAGTTCACCTTAAAAGCCATAAACTTGTGATATGGCTTCGGAGCCCACGCGTAAACTTCAATCTTATTTTCAGTGGCGATGGCAAGAAATTTAATTCGATGGAAATTCACTGCAAGGCAAGAGAGAAGTTGGTCAATATTCACAGTTTATATCTGGGATACGACGTTGCGTGATGGTTACCGCGCTGAATTCCAGACAGAGAGGTCTGGGTTCGTACCCTGGCAAGACAATCTACTCTCCTAGTACCCCTCTCAACCCAGAACTAACCGGGTGGGGTGGGGGAGGGAGAGGGGAAAGCAGATAATGACCCATGACAACCTATCGTCCCTCCCGAGGGAGGGGTAGTACTCCTAGTCGTTTCATATTATGGAAATCGGGATAACATTCCAGAAAATTCCTCCTGTTAAATATTTGAATCATTCTTACCAACTTTGTAGTGAACACATCCTTCCAGATCACCGACTGTTGTGTAACCTTTCTGCCTTCGGAGATTCTCCGCCTGCATACAAATAAAAAACAAAAACAAAACAAGAGAGAAAATACATAGAGCATTACAAAGATACCTACAAAAAAGTCCAAACACATTTTCGTTTTGTCTGCGAAAAATGAAGACATAGGAGTTTTAAAGAGCGACGAAGTTCTTTACCTCTTCTCCTTTTAGAATCTTGGCTTTCAACCATGACAGGTAATACACACGAAGTTTGTTTTGTTTTCCTACAAAATTAAGTAAAATTGTCAAAGGTTGAAAGTGGACGCTTGATTCAAACTTAAAGTCAACAGGAACTCAAAGTGCTTAAAAATCAAGCAATAGATAAAACAATTCGAACTAAAAGGATGAGATACGAATAGAAGAGAAAGAAAAACTTACCACTAATGGAAATAAGAACGTTTATTCCTTCCAGTACATCTATCTGTTGGAATCTGCGTCTGGATATCAGTTGAAAAACTGAGAAAAGGACACCACATCTTCAGTAACGTTAAAATTCAATGAATAAAAGAACAGACCAGACAAACACACAAAGACATTAAGACATTGAAACAGGAAACAAACTGCTATAAAAAAAGATCGGGAAAACTGGGGAGGATTTAAGTACAAACAAAATCATGTTCACCTTTGCCATAACCACTCCGATCCAGTAAATATAATCCACTTTCTGTTCCAACAAGAAGATTGACTCCTTAAAAATACCATAAGAACAAGAATTACGAGATTTGATTTAAATCAAAAGGCCACAAAAATTAATGGTGAATCATAAGATAGAAAACTGTAAATTCTTCAGTACCCCAAAGTGCTCCACATAAGATTTCTGTTCGGAATTTGTATTTGTACTTTCTTATCTGCGGCATCTGAAAGAAATGAAATTTTTTTAAAGTTTTTGAACTAATATTTTCGTCGTTCATGTATAGAGTATAACCTGCGCAAATTATTTCTTCGAGCAGGGGCGAGTTAACAACACAAATCACTTACACACGTGAATCAGCTGTACGCTAGGAAGGCGTGCAAGAGTCAGTCACACGCGCGGAAGGTGAGTGCGGATTTTTCACACGCGCGACAAGCGATCGCGGGAGGAAAATAATATCTCAATTAATAGTTTCATTTGCCCGCCGCGCCCGTGAACAGTCCTCCGTGTTCGTCTTAGATAACCGAAAAAACTATGGTGTCTGTTCTGGCAATCAACTAGCGAGTCAACTTACTCCCAAATCATCCACGTTAGCAATTGAAGTTCTGTCAGGAGTCAAGTTCACCGAAACCTCTGAAGGAGCTTGGGATTGACGACCGAAGCCAAAACTTCGTTGTTTAGAGAATTTCCTGTCTCTCCTGGGATCCTGAGGTACAATGGAGGAAGCGATGGATTCATCTGATGACTTACGGCGATCATCAGGAGACTTCTGAATTGAAAAAAAATAAATAAATAAATAAATAAAATTGTCAGATACCAGGAAGATGGCGAATGAGGCGAAGAAAATCCATGTGTTTAAGAAGTAAGATTTCACCAGAAAAATCACCCAAACAGTTAAAAAAGAAGAAACAGTCAAACGTTCCGAAAGTTATCGTGGACATGATTAATAAATAGATGCTTATAGGGCGCATTTCTAATCTCAATGCGCCTAACAACAGATTATTAAGACATAAGACATAAGAATAAGTAATTAATTAACAGTAATGTTTTTTAAACAAAAATGTCTTAAGCCTAGTTTTGAATGTTTCTACTGTTTCCGCTCTTTTAATATATTCGGGAATTGAGTTCCATAGTTTCGGTGCAGATACTGAAAAAGCGCGTCCGCCATAGGAATTGGATTTAATAGGTAGGATGCATACCTGTAAGCGTGTTGATGATCTCAGTGTTCTTGATGGGTGGTATTCTTGTATAATAGGTTCTAAATAACTAGTAGATTGCTCATTTAAGATCTTATAAGTTATAAGTAATATCTTAAAATTAAAATTTAACATGGTTTTCGAAAATTTCAATAACCCATTCTCTGCACACATCGCAGACCTGTGATATTTATTGCATATTTCTGCCCAGCCCTCCCCACCCCTCATACCTTTACTTGCTGTTGCGTTGGCAGCACATCCGGCAGATTGTTCGTCAGGGGTCGAGTGGGGTTACTTGTCTCACCAATACTGGCAGTTGAGGCACTAGACTGTCGGAGAAAAATATTAAAACGTGACCCATTCACTCTTGGAAACATGAGAGCTTAGTGCTTGTTTCATAAATTTCAATCAGTAACTATACTCATAAAGCACTATCTTGGCACAAGGAAGCAAAAGAAAGGTACATACTTCGATAATAGAGTGAACATTTTACTAAACCACCAACAGCTTAATGAACTAATTATAACTCAGTAAAAAAGAAAAACAACAACAACAAAAACGACAGCAACAAAACAAAGAACAAAGCTTAATACCGAGTCATCATCGTCGTCCTTTACTACCATTGTGTCATAGCCATCCACATCCTCTTGGTGAGCTGAGAGGGAGATCAGTTTTGAAAATAAAAATTTAACCACAACAGTAGACCAACTGAAAGTAACACTTGACAGTGAGGTTTGATTTCTCTGGCAACGATATTCCTGATATGGATTGCTGTGTGTTACAGAGACTGATGTTTCAATAACCTTGGCAGAAGTCATCATTAAAGCTAGCCAGGAGACATTTAGCACTTGAATTATAAATCAGAAATGTGTTGTAACTACATACCTTCCCTTTGAGGTCGCAATGTGGATTCACCATCTTGCTGTCCATCCATTGAAACACTGAAACAAGAAGTTAATCCTTAAATGTCAAGAGCGACCTGCATCTAGTTTCCCTTTCCAGTACTAATGCTGAATAAGACATTATTACCATGGAAACAAAGGAATTGATTGCCAACCCAGGAGGTTTTGATTGGCAAAAAAATTCTCCTTATCTGTACCAAAGGATATGTGCAGAAAAGAGAATGATGAATATGCATAATGATGTTAATAAAAACGTTTCTTATGTCAAATATTATCAACCAGACATCTAACCTAAATCTCTTAGGAGCCCTGAATAACTTAGCATCCAATACAAAAGGGCAAACAATACTTCAAGTTGCTGGCTACAAGGTACAGAGAAATCAGACCTGTGATAATGGAACATGGCATCTACATGTGTAGCTAAATAGCAAAAGTTGGACTGTAAGTCTCACCGATGTCGTGAATGGCTGGATGCTGTCAGGGTGTCATCTGTTTGAAATGTCATAAAGCTGTCAACGCTTGAGTCCAGGAACACATCATTATCATAGCCACCAGTTGCACCCATGTGCTGCGGAGGGACATGGTTGGGGTTCATTTCCTATAACAGGAAGGAATGGAAAAACAACTTTGTAAACTCAAAGAGGGTGATATTCGCTTTCACAGCCATTGTTTAGTCTTGACACACAAAGCGCTATCTTTCACTAGCATGTTGTGTGACCAAACAGTGGCTCCAACATAGACAAAGAGACTAGCTGCCTTGTTTCAGGGTTTGTAAAAACTTAAGTGTTCAAAATTCACATCTCTTTCATACCATTATTTTCAAGTTTTAGACTCAAGATTGAGATAAAATAAAGTTACCTAATAGGAAAAGAGGTTGTCAAGAGTTTGCCTTAAAAACTGGAACTTTTCTGATTATGCTAGTTCAACATTTTGGTCAAGATGTTTCATGTGGAATTCAACTACCAAATGGTGTAATAACCCAGAAATCAGCTTGAAAGTTTCCATTAACTTTAAAAGAACTAAAGTTATTTCCATACTTTTTCAAGGTCTAATGTTTAGTTTAAAAGTTTCCCCAATTTTTAAAGAATTCAAAATTCTGTAGAAAACCTTCTTTTGTACTTTTAATAAACAAAAAAAACGAAAGCAATGAAAATGTATAACTCACTGGACTGCTGCCACTACTTGTCCTTCTAGGTGGATAATTATGACCTAAACAAGAATGGCTCAGTTTATTAATGATATAAATAACTTGGAAGATCACTGACAATTTATGCTACAAATGTTTTGCAATAAACATTGACTTAAACAATATCAATAAGAAACCTTTTGTCCAGTATGACAATACAATACAATACAATGTTCTTTATTTCGAGAGGGTAGATACACGATTAACCCAGTAAAGAGTTTTCTAACACATGGCCCTCTAATAAACCCACCCAACGCACCCCAGGGGAGGACATCCTTCACACAGAAATCTCGTGCGTGTGAAATTAATGTCTCCTACCCCTAACCCTGCAGGAGACGGGACCTCCATTTATTCGTCCCTATCCGAGAAGACTAGAATATCTAAACCATTTCTTGATGTTATAGAAAGGCAGCAAATTCTTCTCAATTACTTTAAGACCCTGAGTGTTGGTCTGGCCGGGGCTCGAACCCTCGACCTCCCGCACAACAGTCCAGCGCTCTATCCATTGAGCTAACCGGGAGGCGGTTAACACTGAAAAACAATCACACTGAAAAACAACAGGTTTGATCAGAGCTATGAAGATATCTCTAACATTTTGAATTCCTTTTATTCGCATATTCTCACCTCTTCCAAAAGTTCCTCCTTGCATGAGGGTTAAATTTCTTCTCAAGGTTGACTGAACATTTACAATTCTGTAGGAAAAAACATGAGTAAGGTGAGTCAGGAATGTCATTTAGTTTTGAAGTGAGAAGATATCCTTACAAGAAAAGTCAGACAAAACACTCAAAAACTGAACTTAAAACTTTTGTAACCAAACACTGGTTACCAGGTACTACTTTTAGAGTGGAACGCTATAACAAGATAGGGACCTGGACACTACATATGATTTGCCCGATAGGGGCCCGGTGTGAGCCGGCTGTACCACGTTGTTCTTGTTACATGTTCTCGTCATAGATAGGAATTAATCCATTTCACCGAGACGTTCATTTAATAGAGATGAGCATTCTTGCTACAAAATGATGAGAACATGTAACAAGAACAACGTGGTAAGAAAAGCTCGCACCGGTCCCCTATCGGGCAAATCATATGTAGTGTCCAGGTCCCTATCTTGTTATAGCGTTTCACTCTAACTTTCTTTAAAGTGAAGAAATATTTCAACAAGAGGCAAGAATAAACTTGCCTGATAACAAGGTTCTCACCCCATTTCCTCGGCAATCATTCCCGCTAACAGCTGTTCATCTTCCTCTTCACTTCCTGAATACTGATACTCTTCTTCATGATCAGGCGGAGCTGCAAAGAAAAAGCAGAAAATACTATAATTATAGACCACTTTGATTCATAAATGGCAGCCAGATGAATGTTCTTCTGTTTAAAGTTAAATTAGCCTCTCTGGCCTCCTTCTCCAGAACAAAATTCAAAAGAATTCATTATCTCAAGCGAGGCCAGAAAGGCTAATTTAAATTTAAACAAAAGAATATTAATCTGGCAGCCATTTATGAAAGTGGTCAATTGTGCAACAAAACACCAAAAGACTAGCCATGGTCCAATATCTTTCCACAAGTTAGAAGAGAACAAACAACTGCACTAACCTCTCTTCTTTTTCATCCTGTCAATGAAATCCTTCAATTCAATTCTTATCTTCCTTTCGTGAGATCTTGCATCACGGATGAATTCATGCTGAAGTAAAAAAAACATTACCTTCGTTTCACCTTTTACAGAATAAACCAAGGTACTTGGGTAGCCCAAAAGCCAAAGCATTAAGATAATACAAATCTGTCAATTCAATTTTTCAGCTTTTCTACTCATTTTTACACCATCTCTACCCTGCTGGCAGAGGCGTTTATTTGTTAACTTCCCCTACAGTCTGCGTAAAAATAAAGTCCTCTGCGCTCGGTCTGTTAAATCTTCTTCAAGAATGCAGCTGAGAATTATCCAAGTTTGTGGATAATAATAATAATAATAATAATAACACCTTTATTTAGACACGATAATGTTTAAAGCTGAACAGCTTGTGGGGTTGTGTGTAAATCTAAATAAACTCTAAATTAAATAAATGCAAATGATGGTTTTTTTGAGGAGAGGGGAAAACCTGAGTACCCGGAGAAAAACCTCTCGGAGCAGAGTAGAGAACCAACAAACTCAATCCACTTATGATGCCGGGTCCGGGAATCAAACCCGGGACACTTTGGTGGAAGGTGAGGGCTCTCACCACTACGCCAACCCTGCTCCCCGGGTTGTAAAACTCTGATTTGCAAAACCAGTCAGAGCCTGTTTTAAACACCTTTTTATGCACATGCATCCTATTTAGCTATATAGTTGGCCGAGTACTACCGGGAACTCATTTGTTTCTAAGCAACAGGTCACACATGCTCAAAAAAGATTTAACAGGCTGAGCGCAGAGGACTTTATTTTTACGTGGACCGTAGGAGAAGTTAACAAATAAATGCCTCTGCCAGCAGGGTACACGATCTCTTAATCTTAAAATTCCTCCTGATGAGCTGGGTCTAGAGAGAAGCTTGTGTGATGGATAAGAATGATATGCAAATTCAAACTCGGGTGAAAACCAATTACTGTTCAAAACTCTGTACCTTCAATAGGCTGTATTTTACAAATTGCATGGACAATAAAAGCTCAACCATTCAAAGCATGTTTATTATTTGTACGATGTAATTATAGTGATGACCATGTTGCCGCTGATGATTGCAACAATGACTAATATAAAATGACTATAATGGCAAGGTGAAAAAGGAAGATGGCAGTAAGGTTGAAAACAACAATGATCCTGACAGAGTTACCTGCAAGAGCTGGTCTGCTGTCGGTCTATGCTGGTAATCTTTGATCAGGCATGTGTTGACAAAATTATGGAACTTCTTTGACCATGCCTTCTTTGATTTAAGGCGTGGAGGATCGCTCCGTGGGATCAGAAACAAAGCTCTCATTGGATGCATGTCACATAAAGCTGTGTAAGAAAGTTCTGTCTTTGTTAACTTGTAATATTTTCATGACCATCTAATGAAGAACAAGATTTGTGATTTCAATTCCCAATCATTAATAACAAACAGTACTCACGTGGCTGAGTCTCAGCCATTTCAATTGCAGTGATTCCTATGGACCACATATCACACTGAAATAATAACCAAAAAAAATCTTTAATCACTTCAACTCAAAGTTGCTAACTTTCTGCTCAATTCAAATTCATTTTAACCCTTCCTCTTCAAAGATTGCAATATCAGATCTCCCTGCTGTCTGCTATAAGTTTCTTTTGTTGTAATTGAGAGAATTTACTGGCAAATCAGACTTTGTATATTTTTTTCTCAATCCTGATTACCTAACCACTTGACAATACATTATAATTGTGCTTCTAAAGGGAAAGAACAGAACAGAAAAATGGTGGTAACCTCTAAAAACAATGACTTGAGATGCAACATCGGCCCTTTCCTCCCTCAAAATCTCACTATATCTTTAGAGGGCCTCCTGGTTAACCGCCTCCCAGTTAGCTCAATTGGTTAGAGCGCCGGATTGTGTTGTGCGGGAGGTTGAGGGTTCAAGCCCCGGCCTGACCGATACTCATGGTCTTAAAATAAGTGAGGAGAATTTGCTACCTTTCTACACATCAAGAAATGGATAGATATTCTAGTCTTCTCGGATAAGGACGAATAAACCGTAGGGCCCGTCTCCTGCAGGGTTAGGGGTAGGAGACGTTAATTTCCCACGCACGAGAATACTGTGTTGTGGATGTCCTCCCTTGGGGTGGGATGGGTGGGAATTGGCCCTGAAAAGCCCCCATGGGGAGTGGTCAACTAACGTATGTATGTATGTATGTATGTATGTATGTATGTATGTATGTATGTATGTATGTATGTATGTATGTATGTATGTATGTATGTATGTATGTATGTATGTATGTATGTATGTATGTATGTATGTATGTANTTGTTATTACTTTCATAGTTCTTGATCTTGGTATGGTTAAGGCAAAGTGTCTTGTTAGTGGAACACTTGCCACAACTGTTGAGTACTTCAAATAGTGACCATATCGGCACTGAATGGGGAAGTCTGACAGGAAAAGAGTCTTGGACATATGTCAGCCATCATTGGTAAAAAGGTCACTTTGCCAAAGTATTCCTCTTGGCTGCAGTTAGTATATGTAATCAAATGGCGACGGGTGAAATTAGGAAATCATTTCACGCCCGTTTTGTCAAATTCTGAAAATATCCCGAGCCTTTTAGGCGAGGGAAATTATCAGAATTTTGACAAAACGCAAGTGAAATCATTTCCTAATTTCACGAGAAAACCATTTGATTACCTTTTAATATCGTGGGTGACAAATTACGTTCACAACCGTAATTGCTGTTACTGGTTTATTCTATCGAAAACCGAGAACTTGAAGAAGACTATAGTTTTCGTTTAAAGCATAGATTATTTTTAAAGTTCGTAATTTTCTGAGTTTCTTCACAAAAATACCTTTTGAATTCTTCGTGCCTTTAATAATTTTCGGACGCTTCTTTTAATTTCGTAACTTCTTTAAGGGTCACGTTAATTTCCCACGCACGAGAATACTGTGTTGTGGATGTCCTCCCTTGGGGTGGGATGGGTGGGAATTGGCCCTGAAAAGCCCCCATGGGGAGTGGTCAACTAACGTATGTATGTATGTATGTAGAGGGGAGGGAGGGGGTCGTGAGGTCAAAATTATTTTTCTTAGTGCTGTTGTTCCTTCTGATGTGCTACCCACTAAAAGAACCTTATCAGTGCATCTATTCAGAGGTATAAAGACAAAAAATTATTCCTAAAATTTTTTTTACCGTGTTGTCGTAAGTGGCATCTGGCTGCTCGTCACAAGCAATTACTTCTGGTGCCATCCTACAATAAAATCATCATGTAAATCAGCATTTTTGTGTCATAAGTAATCATGCTTTGAACCTCTTTATATTTTAGCTTCACAAAAGATGAAAAGTATCAACTGAAGTTTCTCTTTCACATGTCCACATTCTGACTGAACTAAAAAGATTTTCAACAGTTCCACATTAGGGTGCAAAATAACTGACTTTTTGCTTGGAGGAAAAAATGCCTTCACTATGTTTTCATGAATTACAACACACACACAGCTTTTCTTACCAGTAAGGAGTACCAATGAAGGTATTTCGTCTTCCAATGGTTCTGTCCAACTGAGCACTAACTCCAAAATCAACTGCATAATAAGAGTTTGTGAATGAATATCACAGCAGCACAACATTTGGTACAACTCACGCCATTCAGTTTTATCAGATGGAGTACGTGAACTTATAACTGCACCTTCAATGTTCAAATGGCATTTCAAAAAAAAAAAATGTATGCTATGCTGCAGTAAGTCCTTCAGCTGATGCATCTGGAGCTAAGCTATGATTGGCGGATTAGAGTCATTTGATCACGCTCTAAACTTCTTAATTGGTGTTGAATTGATAAGTGAAATAATCCAGCTACTGAAAAAAGTTATAAAAAAACAAATATTGTACAGTGCAATGTCCTTACCTAATTTCACCTCAGCACTGTCTGTTAGTAGCACATTCTGTCCTTTTATATCTCTGTGAATGACATGGTTTTGATGAAGGTGACTAACTCCCTAAAAAACAGAAGAGAGTTTTAAACCTGACAACGATAAATATCATCAGTGACACCCCAAATGCCTGGTAATAGATGCACTGGAAAACTTACATTAAGCACTTCATGACAAATATATGAGATCCACTCTTCCTTTAAAGCTTTTCCTCTTGAAGCTTTAAAACAAAGACAAAAAAATGTCATTGGGAATTCAAGCTTTACCCTTTTATATATTTGGTTTAAATTGCATTATACTGTAAACCTTACTGGAGAAAAATTACTCGTAAATTTACCTTTAACCAGGTCTGTTATGGACCCTGCACCGCAAAACTCCATTACAAGCTGACAAAAAAATGAACAAATAATGCTTTAGAACATATAATCACACCATAAGAGTGTAATAGGAGATTGTCTGACTTGACAGCCATTAATCTTAGATTGGCCTTGAACACTACTTCAAATAAAAACTAGGAAACAGGACTGCTTCTATTTAAATCATATCAAACAAGATTAAAGTCATGAAAAGGGT